TATATGATTTAAGGAATATTCCTTAATTAGGCCATATTGGGCTCTTTGGGAGCAAGGAGGGCCTCAAGGACGCGCTGAAGTTCGCCAAATCTGCGGAGCAGGCATCGGCTGCAGAGCGTCAGAAGGCGATCGCAGCAATCAAGGCAAGGCTCCCTAGGGTTTAGGGTTTAGGGTTTAGGGTTTGGGGTTTGGGGTTTAGGGTTTAGGGTTTAGGGTTTAAGGGCTAGGGCTGGCGCTTTGGGCTCGGAGAGTGGGGTGGAGGTTCTTTTTTGCTCTTTTGGGGTTAAGCCCTAAACCCTGAACGGCTCCTTTGCAGGAGGGGAACAAAACTAGCGGGTGGCGGTCTGCAGACACAAATGGGCCATTGTCTCAGGGCCCGGCAACAGCTGGGCCGGGTTTTTTGCTGCTGATCACACACGTCGTGCGGCGACGGCGTGCCTGCCCGCCACACCGCCAGCCTCCTTGATCCATCCTGGCGACCCCACCAAAGCCCCGGATTTTGTCCGCCCTTGGACCCGGAGTTGCTTTCGCGACATGCCTTTGCTGCTCTGCCAACCCAAAAGCTCCCAGCTGCCACATACAGTCATGTCGCGGCGAGGCCCTCAAGGCCGAGGAGTACGACGCAAACCAGGCCTTCCTCCATTATCATGAATTTGGATATACATTCCTTTTAAAGGGGTTTTGGAAGATCTGGGTGGTTCACATACGGCCGTGCAATTGGTGCCTTCTGAAGTAGGCTTCATCCTTTGAGTCGGCACTCAGAATTGAGAAGCAAGAAGCATCTCAGTGATGTGGGCTTGGTGCTTTCAGTCTGCTCTAATTTGAGTGACCTCAGCCTCAGCTTGGCCTCAGGTGGTGGAAGCCTACGTGCCTTGGCCACTCTTGACCGGCGGGTTCCGGGGGGGTTGGACGTTGGGGAGCTTCTCAGTGGTCTTGTGAGCAGGTGATATGGGGAGACGCTGAGGAATCAGCACATGTCAGGATGGGTCTAGGCAGTAGAGCTGCTACTTCTCTAGTTCAACAGACCCTGGACAATCATGCGGTCAGTACCCGAAATGTCAGGGGCCGCCTTTTTTTAATAGGGACCCTACCAGAATGTAGAGAACTGACCATGTCAATTTTGTTGGAAATGTGCCGTAGACACTTTGCACTGAGGAATCGAAGAAGCGAGCGCGACAGGATCAGCAAGACGTGGCCTAGGCAGCCTAACGCCGTTTAAACTAGCTGGGTCTGAGTGGGGTGTAGGGGGATTAGGTACCTTGTGTCCCCCCTATATAGACCCTTTTAAGGGCTTCATTTCTAAGCTACCTAATTCCCCCATTCTTTACCAAAAGCCCTGTAAGATCCAGCACCTGCTCAGGCGTCACTCCCACTCCGAACTCTCTCCGCCAAGTCATCCCCCCCGTGCTTGTGAGCGTTGGAAGCCGCTGCTTTCCCAAAGGGAAATGGGCCGAATGGGCTGGTGCAACATCTCGCCCCTTCGCGCCGTTGTGGTTAAGGAGCCATCGTCTTTGCTGTGTTGATGCACTGGTAGAGTTAGAGGAGAAGGCGCCTGACGACAAAATTGGCTGTGTACAGTCCGATGCCAGAAGCATCCGATTCGGGGACGACGCTGCGGAAGCAAGTGCAGGAGGAATCCATATAGCAGTCAAGAAATTGACCGATGACACAGACCCTTGTGCAAGATTCTCCTGCCACTGCTCCTCTGTGATGTGGGGCAAAAGAAGTGAACGGCATGCTCCCTGAGCCCTCCGAACGAGTTGATGGCTTAATTCATTCGAAGGCCCCCGTTCAGGCATACACTCTAAGCAGAGTTCTGACGTTCTGAAGATCGTCTTGGTTTAGTGGGCCCACTCCCACTCTTGCAGCGCAGGGCATCACATCTTTTCAGGGCCTATGAACTTCCAGGCTACCGAACATTCTAATTAGCAATGCTAGCCTGGGAAACCTTAAATGCGCTACAGGGGCTTTTGGTGATGGAGCTGAGAAGCCAGTGTCCCTCCTTCGACCCTGCGTGGCCCCAAAGTGCAAGGACCGCAAATCGGGGACCCTGTTTTCTGAACCACCCCCCCCCCCCCCCTCCCGAACCCCAAGCCCAAACCCTATAGCCCCCAATTCTTACCCTGCCGGATGGCTGAGTGGGGAAAAAACTCCCTAAACCTTAACCCCGCCTATGTCCAAGTTCTTAAAGGAACTTATCTTGGGATGTTCCTGTATTAACAGTCTTTAATAGGATTTTAGTGCCCCCCCCCTAGTATTATAGTCCCCATTAAGGACTGTTAGTGCAAGGTACTTATCGTCCAACCAAGAAATCGGCCCCTAGGCCTTTGATGCTGCGCATGGCCGGTGGGAGCTTGCACTCGCAGTTCCGGACTTAGCGTGGGTACTTGTAGGTTTAGGGTTTAGGGTTTAGGGCTTGCTGGTCTCTGGTGACTAGCGACTGGCGCGGCCCTCAGTCCTGGCATGAAGCAGCTTCCAGGCTCAAAAGGGTTTAGGGTTTGGAGGCTTGGTGTGTTCGAGGCCCGTATTCAAAGGAGGCTTGGTGCATAGGAGTTTAGGGGTTGGGTGTAGAAGCTTAGCACTGAGCCGATCCTCTCAGATCAAAAAGGCCTCTGGCTGCTGGAAGAAGGTTCTGGGATCTGGGGGGGTGATTGCAAGTGCACCTTGCACAGTACTTTCAGGAAGCCCATCAAGGCTTTAGAGCCTCGCACTTCGGGTCTCTTCACATTTCCTCCCCCCGCCTGAGCGGATTTTCGAGGATGGCAAGACTACCATCCGAGTCCGGCCAGAGCACGTGACGTCAGAGCCCGAGCATGTTGTCGGGCTGTTGGTCGGGGTTTAGGGTTTAGGGTTTAGGGTTTAGGGTTTAGGGTTTAGGGTTTAGGGTTTAGGGTCGGAAGAGGTTTAAGTCCTTTTGCAGCCGCGAGTTGCGAGGAGAAACCCAAGACCCAGCCTGACCATGGCCTGGATATAGTATTGCCGGAGTAATTACCAATAGTACTCCCTCAGGGTCCCTATCAAATATACGACAATAACCCCCCAACAAAACCCTGTACTCCCTTAGGGTCGCTAACAAATATACGACAATAACCCCCCCAAAAAGACCCTGTCCTAATTCTTAAGGCCCCTATATGAGTCCAGCTTTAGGGTGACAGAGCTGAGCTAAGTTCTTGAGTCGGTGTCGGACCGGCACCCGGATCTTCCATAAAACCCCTTAGGGAATAGACCGATAATTCATCATAGTTATCCTTAGTATACATTAGAGTCATGATCCTTTGTGTAAATTATAGTGTATACTCCCTAATTTAAGGGATTTTGAAAGATCTGGGGCGATGCTGAGGCTTGAGCCAGAAACTGCTGGTTCTTCGTCCCCATCCCGAGCTACTGCCGAGCCGCTGCCTTTCTTTTGCGGTTGGGCGCGGGGCTACAGGGATTGCAGAGTTATCGTCGGCATTTTTAGGTGTTGATGTAGAAATACTATGGCAGTTGATGTTGATCAGCCTGGAACTGCTGTGTGCAGGAGTAGCAACATCAGTCTTGTCGGAGCAACTCTGTTTGCAGCTACGGTTAACTTGACGTAATTCAGCCGTTGTATGTCCACTTTGTGGCTGCAAATGGGTAGCCTGTGCGTCACCAGTGGAAGACATAGCATGCGAGGTCCGACATACCCGAGGAGTTCCGGTGCGTTATCACCAGGTTGCGGTGCGAAGTTGAGTGGGGCCGTTTGTTGGGGTCTGCGGCATCTCGCACTTGTCTGGCTTCTGAATTCGCAGCTAGAGCGGGCCAGTCTGTAAAACAGGGATCTGTCAAGCGGAAGCTGTTTTCAAAATTATGTAAGTATTCAGACATCTGACTTTCGGGATGAGCTTTTGGGCATGGGCAGCTGAAGCCTCGCTATTGCTGAGTGCCCAGCCACTGTGATGGGGTTTAGAAAGTTTCGGGGCAGTAGACGTTTTTGCCGCACCGGTCGTAGACCTACCCTTGCCAGGGACCTCATGGAACGGCCAGTCATCACCTCTGACGGTTATTGCCTCAGCGGCTAGCTGATGTAGCTTGTGCCAGGTTTCCCTAGAAATCATGGAGTCTACACACACACGATTAGAATACCACAGCTGACAGCATTGCGCATGAGTCCCTGCTATGAACTCTCACAGGTCACACCTACGAGCGGAGCGCAATTGCTAAGTGGCTGGAGGATGTGCTTGCGAATATGGCATTTCTTGGTTGTATACATGAACGTGCGCACGTCTGCAAGCGTGCTGCACTCAGCTAAACATGCTGCGGCACAAGTATACACTGCAGTTCGATGAGGTTCCCAGTCGATGTCGGGTTTACGATGTGCCCGCCTGGCCGTGATAAAGCGAGTGAATGAAGTGAGGGTTGCACCATGCTGCCGGTCTGGCAGGAGCACAACACCTCGCCAAAGACGGGCCAGGAATTACCGGACAAGGTCAGACGGCAACCCTGCTTCGTTGCACTTGTTGACAAAGTTTCCCACAGACCAACTTACTTAGTTCACGGTATGTTTCGCAGCCGGGGACCCATCGCAACACTTGGAGGTCCTTGCGCCAACCAAGCTCGGAAGCTTGAGCCTTCAGCCCTTGAGCCAGCCATTCCTTGATGCCAGGTCTTGCGGCCCAACCACGCCCTGCGCACGCAGATCATCGCGTACAGGGACATTTGCGAGATGTGTGTGGGGAAGGGGACTGACATGACCTGCTTTGAAGGCATGTCCAAGATCAGAGATGTGCGCAACACCACCATTTCCTCTTGAGACTCAAACCACAAACTCTGACACAGGACCCGCTCAAGGTATCCTGTTCAACTTCGCTTAAATGACCGCCTCATAGAAAGCTTCGCTCCTAAGAGAGCGACATGTTGCAGTTACAGCTCTATGCTACAGTTCTCTACGTCCACGCATCTGTTCACAGAGGTGCGCACCAACATAGATCAGATTGTGCAGTTTCCATGACAATGGCAGCGTGCCTCCAATGACCGACATGGGCGCTCGGCTATCACTCGCTGAGGCCTGCACAATGCCGGCATTGGCTACAAGGTTCTATAAAGGATTGGTCTTGGGTTCTTTATGTACTATTAAGACTTTAAGGGGTTTCGGACCTCCCCCATCCTTGCTGGATGGATTTCCTGTGTCGTTTTCCGGTCCAGACATGGCTCAAAGCTAGGTAGGGTTTTGGGGATATTTGATATTTCCCCTTTTGGGGTTTAAGAGCATCATATTCCAGGAATATATGTCAGAGGGTGTTAAGGGCCATCCTAGAAAGTTGCCATCGAATTGAAGGAGCCTGTGGGAGGAGTTGGAGTGGATCCCGGAGACGAAGAGGGCGATGAGACCTGCAGCACTCAAGTACGTCAGAACAAAAAGAAAGAAGTTCAGGGGAGTTCAGTTCACGCTGCAGGTCACGATCTCACACTCAGGTGCTAAGATTGGAACGGTTTGGTTCGGCTTGTGCAGGGTAAAAGCACACGTGGTTGTGGGCTGCTGGGCCAAATCCGCAGCTCAGGAGCTGAACGCTACGCCAGCGCACGTGAGGGAGCAGCTGCTCTCCAGCCTGCAGGTCTCTGAGGCCGAGGTTTGCAAGCTGCTGAGCCTCGGCCGGGCTTGTGGATCACCATGTGCAGTCATGATGTGGTCATTTCTGCGGGTGGTCCAAGCTGATCAGCCGGCTAGTGGTACGTACCTTTGAAGTGCACTGCAGCAGAAGTCAACAGCCACCAAAAATCAAAAAAAGACCAGCCGGCAAATTCTCCCCCAGTTGAACTGGAACAGCGTCGAAGCGGTTGGGCGTTCCGCAGTCAAGCCCGATCCCGATATAGCTCCCAGATCTTCCAAAACCCCTTAACTAAGGAATATAATATACCCGGATTTATACCAAGGTTCAGAACTATGAATTAGGGTACATTCCTTAATTCAGGGGCGTTGGAAGATCTGGGCTACACTTCATCCATACGACCTAAACATGGGGTCCCGAGGAAATTGCCCCAGCGCTATCCAGATGGCCGCGCGCATCCGTGCTGGATCGCTGCGCGAAAGAACAGGGTGCCTCAACTCAGAAGTGTGAAAAAAACATAGAAGCACAATCACTTCTGGGAGTCCGTGACTTCTTCGGAATTTGAGAGTACTGTCTCTCCAGGGTTTTTGTTTGTGATGTTGCGTTGCACGCAGTGGCTGGGTTATTGGTGCATGCTGGCTGCTTACACTGGCAGGGGTTTGAGTTTTCCTGGAATTTCCCACTCGCCCACAGGCAAGACCCTTGCGGCACCCTGAATCAACCAAATTTTCCGGTCCTGGTCATCAACACCTGACACCTGGTCAACATCGACCCGAAGGTGACCGCCTCTCGCTTCGCAGCGGCCTGCTCTGCACCCGGCGCACGGAGCAACCGCAAGGTGGTGGTCGCCGACATGCCATTTGGATCCATTTTAAAGGGATCGGGCCGAGGAATCAGCCGCTCTTGCCTGTAGCTCCCCCAGGAAACGTTTTGCCCAACGGACTATTGGCTATAACATTATTGTTAAGGTTCTAAGGTGAGTATAGTAGCCCCTGGATGCCCCTGTGCTTCAGCTCGCTTGAGTAAGACGTATGCTTGCTCGCACAGTCGACCATCACCTGTGTACGAGCTAACTCCGATAAGTCCTCGGGCCACTTCGATGCAGCCATAACCGGATCATATGCTTCAAGATTTTTGCCGCAGGCCTACAGTGAAGCCGCCCAAACCAAACGTCCGACGCACCAGACCAGGCTCGCCCTGCCCGAGGGCCGCGCAGTGCAGGCGACCCGGTTCGGTGTGCAGCACGAGGATGTCGCCAGGGAGGCCAGTCACCGATGTGGTTGCAGGCTAAAGCTGAAGGTAAATGAAGGTTCCTAAAGAGACCCAATCCCCCTTAGTTAAGCCTCAGTTAATGAATATACCTATTATACCTTAAATCAAATCACGGATCCCTATATAGTATAGTTAAAGGCATACACACACACATATATATATATATATATTCCTTAATGACGGTGTATTATATTAGGCCCTCTGAGTTCATGAGGCTGATGATTCTTAAGGCGCTGGGGAGGTCAACTCTTCCTCAAGCATCATAACCACGAGGGTGCAAGAGACCAGCGGCCCCCCCTGAACAACTGCCCCCAGCCCTGAGCTGCCTCAACCCTATGCATCAGTCCGAACCCCCCCCCAAAAAAAAAAAAAAATCGAGAGAGAAGGGGGTTCCCTGGCCCGGCTTGGTAGGCCTACATCGCTTGGCGCCGGTCGGTCGCTCGTGAATAATTGGCTGCAAGGGTCTGGGTTGAGTGTTGCAGGTAGGATCCGGGTTTTCGAGGACTGAAAGTTATGAAGGCAATATGCTTGGGATGATCTGGACTGAAGATTCCGGTCGAAGGGGCATGTAGCCTTGCTCAGCCTCCGAGAATACTGTGATATGCAATCAGCACCAATCCGAGCAAGCCGGATCTGGCTTCAAGATCTTTGAGTGTAAGACCATGCCCGTGTCAAGCATGCGCGTATGGAGTTCAAGTCTCCGCCTGAGCTCGCACCTGGGGGTTTAGATCCAAAGCTGCCGAAACCTGAGCCAAACCCCAACCGACCCTGAAACCATGAAAGCCTAAGCCCTATAATCCTATCACAAGCCCTATAAACCCTACGTAAGCTCCTATAAAGCCCATCAACCCTCGAAGCCCTTAAAAATCCCCAAGCCTTCGCCCTGAGGAGGCCAGCAAGCAGTCCGCCAGCGACCTGGACCTCCAGGTTGAACCTCTAGGCATCTCAGGGGGTTTAGGGTTTAGGGTTTAGGGTTTAGGGTTTAGTTGTAAGGGGTGGGTTACCCCACACCTCGAGAACCCTGATTCCGAAAAGCCCCTTATGAGACTCCTTGTCGATTCTGCATTCCAAATCTGTCTGGCTGCTTCGAAGATCTTTCGAAGCCAAGTTCGCTCTGAGACGCAGTGCCCGTCGCGTGAAGGCCTCTGCGTGTGGCTGCAAGAGCCCTGGCTTGCTGGCTCGCCAGATGGGTTGTGCGTGGTGGAGGGCAAGCCGGAGGATGGGCGCTTGATTCTTTTCATGCCTGTTTTTTTTTTTTTTGGGGGGGGGGGGGGGGGGGGGGGGGCTTATTGTGTACTTGCAAAGGCCATGGTGCAGGTTCAGGGTTTCTAGGGTTTAGGGCTTATAGGGTCCCTTACTTATAGAGCTTCATGATCTTTCCACAGGGCTGGAGATGCAGTTTTTTGCCTCCCCATCCGAGCGTATGGGTGGTTGGGGCCCAGCGTGAGAGTTGCGGGAGTGCCTCCACAGCTAGTCGGGTGCGAAAAAATGCTCTGACGAGCCCTACGGTAGCCAAATCCGAAACCCCAAACCCTAAACCCTGGTTGCACTAGCGTGAAGCCTGCTGCCGCAGAGAGTGCTTGCAGAAAACCCTAAACCCTAAACCCTAAACCCCAAATCCTCAACCCTAAACCCTAAACCCTAAACCCTAACCCCTGTTTCAAGGGACTCTTGGAGATCAAGACCGCGAAGGAGTGGAACGGCCTCTTCCAAAGCGAGGACACCTCCCCAATCCCATGACGTCCCATTCTCCAGCGGGGTTTAGGGTTCAGGGTTTAGAGTTTAGGGTTTAGGGTTTAGGGTTTATGAGGGTTTATGAGATAAGGGAATCCTAGTATTTGGGGTTCTCCAGCAAAAGTTGGGGGTTAAGGATTTAGGGTTACGGTTTTAGTCCGGCAAAAGGGTTCAGGGTTTAGGGTTCAGAGGTACCTTATTGGGGTCCTTGTTATACGGGAATCCGAGTATTTGGGGTCTTTTTTAGGGGTCCCCTATTTTCCTAAACCCCCAGTTCAGACCTTTGATTCTAGGAGAGTCCTGGGCCTCGGCGTCATTGGGTTGAGATGTCATATCAGAAAGTCAGCTTTTAGGGGGTCCATGACTGCAGCATTCATCACGAGCGAGGAGCTACCTATGGACTGGAAATATCAGGTCCATGGTTGCGCCTTGCTTCGCAGTTCGCAATCTGCTGGATGTTGCTGGTATGGATTGTGGCCCATGTTTCCTGTACAGTGGTGTTACTGCTCGTTTCATGTTCCCAACATGTTTTCGGAACGTATTCAGAAGCACCCGCGCGTGCTGGCTGGGCGCCACGATCCCAAGACAGTTGAACTGAAGAACTGAAGCAATCCGCAAAAAGTGCGAGTGTCGAGGTCCAAAATACAGGAGATCACTTGGAGGGTTTGAAACCTGTCAGACCCTTGTGCGTTGACAATAAAAACCGGTCGGGGCCACTGATGTGTTGCATGAGTCTCATATGGGCGGGTGGCAAAAAGAAATAGAGTCTTTGCTTGGCCCTGTGGTGCTGAGCAAGTGAGGCATGCGCGTCGCTGCCGCTGCTTTAGGCACAGAGATTCCCTGGTGTGATGTATTCTTCTGGACTCCAGCTCCTCCGCTGCACTTCAATACGACCCTGGGCCCTCTAGCCCTCCTCACCTAATCCGAGCACCTGTTTAATTGGGAGGGGTCCCCCCCCCCCCCCCCCCCCAAAATAAGGAAGGCAGGGTTCCGCAATAATTGGACCATGGCCCTGCATTGATTCTCTATTAAAAACAATCGGCTGCAGATCCCTGAGGTGCTGTAGCTCCGCAACTCCGCAAGCAAAGCAAGAAGCCTGCCGACAGATTTTTGAACCCCCCCAAAAAAAATTTCTTTAAATGTGGGGGGTTATGCCCATACGAAATCCACCGCAATGGAAAGTAGTCTTCCGGCGGGCTTCCGGAGAACAAATATTTCTTTAAATATGGGGGGTTTAATTAAACAGGTGCTCGGATTATGGGTCCGAGGGCCAAGCAGTCCACAGTCCTAGCAGCCGGAGGGCTGTATGCTGTACCCGCGATCGTGCCAAAGAAAGATAGCTAGAAGCATCTTTCGGCAGGGAGCACATTACAGGCACAAGGGCCCTTTCTAAGGGGTTATAGGGTATAATGGCCCATCCTGGTACTGTATAATGGCCCATCCTGGTACTGGCTGCAGAGGCAGAGCAGACCTGCCGGAGAGAGTTTTTCGACGCCGAGCTCTGGGAGAAAGCCATGTTCCCAGCCTTGAGGCTGCTTGGGGGTTTAGGGGTTTAGGGTTTAGGGTTTAGGGTTTAGGGAGAGACTTTAGTTCCTGCAGACAGCCATGATGCCTTCATGTCAAGCTGCGCTCGACACCTTGCGCGGCCGCAGGCACTTCTACTTCAACGTGTTCCTGCCGCAGGCCGTGGATCATGAGAGGGAACGGAGGCACCGGCTCTCCAAGCAGCGGCCTAAAAAGGCTTCCCGGAGGCAGAAACGCCGGCACAAGTGAAACAGCGATCTGCAGCTCAATGCGGTTTAGGGTTTAGGGTTTATAGGGTTTAGGGTTTAGGGTTTAGGGTTTCATTGCCCAAGCGGCCTTGGATGTTCAGAGGGGGCCGGGCTGGACCTGTCTTGTGTCGCATGACTTTGTCAGGAGCGGAAAGGGCTCCCGCCACTGCCGCCGTGGGAACCGGAGCCTCAGGAGCATGTCCTTCACACTTTTGAAGTCCAGATGTGCAATCAGGTTTTTGGGTGCAAGAGCTTCTATAGAAAGACAGGGTTCAGGGGAGAGGGCTGTCAGGCTGATGGTCTTCTGTTCTTGCTAGGTCTGTCTCCACTTCGGATGTCAAGTGCACAATGTCATACGCACATACCCGCAGCAGGACTAGGACAGAACGAGCCGAACATTCAAGCTTTGGTTAACGGTTTTCCGTTTGCCATCCAGGCTCCCAAACATGAGCCACGATTGCACGGAAGTTGTGCAGTGTTCGAGAAGTCTACACGGCCAAAGGAAGATGCGAATCATCTGAAAAATCAGAAATGCCCTTGCGTGAAGACAGGAAGTGGTGCGAGCGTCGCGGCCACCCCAGGGACCGGGCCAGGCCAGGTGCATGTGTGTTTAGACCCCTGGCTCGGTCTGCAACACAGTTCTTTTGTAGAGTTGGAGACCCAAAGGAGGCGCGCAGAGATCTCCCAAAAAAGCACCAGGAATGTTTCAAGTAGGGTCGCTGGCTGAGCAGCTGCGGATGTGACCTTCAAGCATCCACTTCTTTTTTTGCAAAGCCGCGGCGCCTAGCAAAGCATCGTTTGGTTCGTGCCTTGACAGCGGCCTGGCCCATGCAACCGTGATTTACCTTAGCAGGGATGCAGTTCAACTGCGTTGCAGAGATGTCTCCTTTTGCCGTGTGCGTATTGGCTCCAGCTGAACATCGGTGAGATTGTAGGACCCTTGTCTTCAAATGTACGGGATGCAAGAGAGCTGGGCGCCCTACACCAAGCTTGAGACCACACTTGAATCATGGTGGTTATGCTCTCTTCCCTCACCGTTTTCTTTACGCTTCAAGCTGGCTTCCTGCTTTAACAGCGGCAACAGCCACAGCAATGAGACAGGTTTGGATGCGAAGCCACTCCCGGCCGGATCAAGTTCCACTAGCTCTGCGAAGAAGAATGCGCGAACGACCCCGTAAGCAGTTCCAATCCCAGACTGGGCGGTCGCCGCGTGATGCAGGAAGCTATTTTCTCTTGACACCTACCAACTCCAAGGACGTCATGCAGCAGGAGGGCAGAAGCGATCAAGCTGCCGGAGTTCGCAAAGCGGTCAAAACCTGTAGGTCAAAACAGAGTCTTATGAGACGTCTGGCTTCGGCTGAGCGCCAGGGCTTGCTTGACACGAGCGTGCTCGCAGCCAGTCTGCAGACTTGCGGTTACCATCGTTGGTGGAAGGCGCTGCAGGAGGTTATGGATTTGGGTGCTCGGTTGCAGATCCCCTTCAATGGCATAGCTACGAGTGTGTTATTCAGGGCCTTGCTGTCTTGCGTGCAAGCTTTCACTGTGTCTCCACAGCGACTGTCCCGTCGCAAGACACGCGCTTTCAGGTTAGCCCGGCAAGTGATGGGCAACTTTGTCCCTGAGACGGCGGTCGATTTTAACGCTTTGCTTTCCAGCATGTGCAGGCTATGCGATGAGATCGGTTCTGAGGAATCGCTTGCCTGGGCGGACAAGGAATGGCAACGGTTCGAGCTTCTCCCTTTTGAGACAAACATCGTGGCCTTTGCAGCTCGGCTGCAGCTACTAGAGCGCCATGGACGTCAACAGGAAGTCGACCAGATGCTGCGCAAAGACCTGGTTGGCCCGGAGCTTTCTCCGAATGTTGTAGTGCTTGGAGGCCTTGTAAATGCTGCAGCAATCAACCAAGATTGGCAGAGAGCTGAGAAGCTGTGGGAGTATTTGGTGCAACTCCGCCATGTCAAGCCGAACATACCTGCGCACCTGGCATACGCAAAGGCATACATGCTTGCGGGAAAGCCGTGTGATGCGATCCGTGTTGTTGAAAGTGCACTGGGTGACGCTGGCTGCGCTATTACATGTGCAAGTGACTACAAAGTCGCCGTGGAGTACACGCAAAACCTCGTCATTGTCTGTCACTCCTTGCCAACACCGACCAACTTATCAAAGCTTACTTCCACCTTGCAGCAGAATGCAGATTTGATGAAAGGTAGTATTCCTACATCGGCCAAAGTGTGGTGGCAAAAACTCTCACAAGTGGCCGATACGTTGCTCCATGATGCGACGCAGCTAGGACTCAAAGACGTCCTCATCACCAGCAATGCCACCACATATAGCGTCATGAAGGACTGGGACAATCTCCGGGCTGGAGCCGATTACCTATAAGAGCACCGTTTCAAGCAGGGCATTCAAGCTCCGTGAAGTTGGACCTGGTCGTTCTCCCGCTCCCCCACAAGCGCCACCTGATACAACGCAAATCCTGGAAGGCAACTTACTTTTTCAGGACGTCGGGTCCAAGCCTGGCCCTCGCACGGTGTGCGCGCGCGGAAAAAACTCCCATGACCAGAAATTGGGAAGACCATGCTTGGGCGACATGGCCACGGAACTTATTCAGTCATTCCTGCTGTTCTTTCCTGGACGGATCTTGCATACTTCCTGCTCTGCACCTGCACTGGCAGGCTGTCCATGTCCAGTCGACCACAATCACGCGCCCACCTCAGCATTTTGTCCATTTGGACCTGAGGCAAGCAGCTGGTTTTAGTTAAATTTACAAGCTGACTTACATGCTAACTCATGTGCACAGGGCGTTGCGCCAGGAGATGACGCGACAATAGGGCTTGAATACCGGTGGAGATTTGAAGGGGGGAGGGGGGGGGTTCCCCGAACGTCGTCGAATCCTTGCAGCAAGTTTGAAAAACAAAACAAAAATGTATTCATACTTATATATATATATATGTGTATACAAGATCGTTACGCATACTAGTGTTTACAGTTTACACATATCCAATGTCTACTTTCATAGCTTCTAGCTTAAACACGTATTCATTCAGTATCTACTAGTGGATGTCCCAGCCTGGGAGAAGAAATTTACGATGAATTCAGAGACAGAGCAACTGTTTCGGACGCTCCAAACAACTGGGGCACGCGAATCGCGGGGGGGGGTCTTCAGGCCCTCATGCCCCCAAGAAGGAAAGAGAGAGAGAGAGAGAGAGAGAGAGTGTGCGCTGGAAGGAAGGAAGGAAGGAAGGAAGGAAAAGAGAGAGCGAGAGAGAGAGAGAGAGAGAAAAAAAAAAACTTTACCATCATCACGCAAACAGCGAGAGCGCCTGAGTTCAGAGGTTGCAGACGCCAGGGCGCCAAATCATGGCGACCAGCGGCAATGCCCGGACCATTGAACCAGGCTTTCTTTACGGGGTGGTTTAGGGGATAGGGTTTAGGGTTTGGGGGGTAGGGTGTGGGGTTTAAGGAATCTCCAGGTTTTCGGATGCAGCCTTTGTACAACGCCTCAGGTACGATGGTTAAGCATGCTGAGTGCCCAAGAAAACTCCAAACGCCTTAAGTGCTGCCTCAGCCAAGGCGGCGGCGCACAGAGGGCTTCCTCCGCCGATGCCTCGGCCATACTGGGCTTTGGGGTGGCAAGCTGCCAGGCTAGGCTGCCTACTCAAACTCCCGAAAGTTCGTGGATGTACAGGACTCAGAGGTGTGAATATGAGGTCATACACACCGTGCGCAGACCTGCATGTCTTAACATCTAGAATCTACGCAGACAAGATCGCCACGAACTCCCAGTCCGAAGTATCCAGAACACTCAGGCATTCATTCTTACCTGCTGTCCAGGGACCGTGGATCAGTTTTCGATTGTTCCTGGCCTTATAGTCGTCAGGACTGTCAATATCAAATAAGCATGGCATATCAGCTTTGCTGTTATCCGCATTTAGCTGCCTCAACTGTGGAAGTGGTTCAAGCAGCGCAACTGCATCGCCCCGTTGCCCAGCAAAGCTCCGTGGCCAGTCTGCACAGGGAATGGGGTTTTGACGGGGAGAGCATTGCGTTCTGGCTGTCGCTACGAGCCCAGGTGCAAAAAAGGGTTCCAGTCCTGTCAGCTTGTGAAAGCTGCACGCATTCCATTCGTCACAGAGTATCGTGCTTGCTGCGCACCTTACACGTGCCATCAAGCCTAAGCAATCGATTAGCTCTGTCCGTCCAGCGACAATCGCAGCAGTTCAACAGCCAACAAGCATGCACAGACTCAAAACCTAGCTTGCGTTTATAACTTGGAAACCTTGGGGTTGTGTGGTTTTTCTGTGGCTGCTGTCGAGGCAACGGGCGAATGAGGACATGACCTGGGGCGGGGGGGGGGGGTGGCTACATGTCAGTTGCCGCGGCCTGCATCGAAGCATACTTGGAGGTTCATGGGTAGTTAGTTATATTCAGGGTTATACTTATAACCAGGGTGCTTGTGATTATAATCCTACGTATCACTACACATGAACCTCCAAGTAGGTGGTTGGAAAACGGGTTTACCGATGTGTAGCCCTAAACCCTAACCCTAAACCCTAAACCCCAAAGCCTAAACCCTAAACCCTAGGGTGTCAGGATGTTGAGTTGGGAAGCTGCAGGCTGACATGGCTTCTGGCCCTCATGCAAGTTTTTTGGGGTTTAGGGTTTAGGGTTAGAAAGCCAGGCACCCCTGTAAGGGGTACTTAGACACACAAGTGGGAGTCTGTCGAAGACGAGTCCGTTTCCCAAGTCACCCCTGCTGGTATGTAAGGAGTCTTCCTAATGATGCGAATGACTATGCATACGTTCATTGGCAGATTTGTAGGCATCAGCTTCGGGTCTGGCTCGGATCTCAGGTTATTCAAACTGGGCCGAGCCTACAGCCGCTAGATCCCTCAGACAGTACTTTCTAGGGTGTGCTTGGCGGGCCGCTATAAAAACATGGCCTTACGGCAACCCTACTTCTTACTCATGGTTGCCTGAGCTGTCGCATTGCACACTACATGCCCAAAAAATCCCCTGTAACTTGCTTAAGAACCCCCAAAAAATGAGACAATCATTCCTTGACTGCCCTTAATTATGCTTAGTTTTTGTGCGGGGTTCTTGAGAAATGAGCAGATAAACCCAAGGCCCTGACTCTGGTCTACCCAGGGGCGAAAGGGTAAAAACCCCACAGAAGCACCCCGGAACCTCCTCGGGCCGCCAGGATTTTCATCCACAACGTGGACTCCTACATCGGGAAGGTGCTTGTAAAGGAGCTCCGGAAGGCCGAAGGCTTCTGGGCTGCGACATGGGTTTACATTGAGAAAATGAGTTTTATTATTATTATTATTATTATTATTATTATTTTTATTTTTTTATTTTTATTATTATTATTATTATTATTATATATATATATATATGTATATATATATATATGTAGATACATATATATATATATGTATGTATATATATATATATATAAACTTTCATTATGATCATTCTTATTGTGTTGTGTTTATGCTTGTCGTATGGGTTCGGGTATTTAGTGTTTTTGGTTTGGTGTGGCAAGCCTCTTGGGGTCGAACGAAGAAGTGGCCCCTGAGCCTCGCACTTTGGTTGAGGTCTCGGCTTACGATAAAAACCCGTTAAAGTCATAAGAGGCTTTAGGGTTCAGGGATGGGCGGAGGAAGCTTCCACATGGTTCTGCGCCCATTTAGCCGTCATCCTAGAGGCCTCAGAATCTGCTTAGATGGATGAGAACCGTGAACACATGGCCTGACACAGGCCTTGAAAACTGTGAACATCAGCGACAATCATAGATTGGCCTTTCCCCCTTATATTAGCAGTCCTTAATAGGAATTTTCGTATCCCCTGTTTATAATCCCTAGTAAGGACTGTTAGCATCAGGAGGAACATCCCAAGTTATCGACCCTCACCGAGGTGGCCTAAATCGCATCTTCGGGACAGCCACCAAAACAGACGAAGCACCAGCTGCGGTGGCCTGCCATTGGCTAGAGCGGCTAGAGGAGGTGGAGTTTCGGGGTTTGAGCATGCTGAGGATGTAGGGTTTAGGGTTTAGGTCAGTAAGTTCGGATCCGGCTGAGCCTGGAGTCAAAAAGGTCTTAGGGTTGAGGATTTAGTTTTTGGGGGGAGGAGGGGTGGAGGTCCCTGAGCTTTTGGAGTCTCATGATGCGGTAGTTCTGGCTCTTGGAGTTCGCAGGGCAAGCCAGAACTGGAAGTGAGTTTAGGGTTTAGGGTTTAGGGTTGGGGGTTTAGGGTGGGTCGCTGGGGGTGTTGGTTGCTTTGCGCATCTTGCATTTTCAAGAGCGTTTGTACCAACCGTGTTTTGTGGGAAGGCATGTGGCAAGTTTGAATCGGACCTTGCGTCGGTTCTCCAGATGTAGTTCTTGCCGACAGTGATACAGGTATACGATATAGTTGAAGGCTCGTGGGTTCTGCTAGTTTACATTTTGTTGTGGTATGAGGCTACCACACCCGGTGACACGGACTTTCAATCCATGACCCCTACATCACAGACCCCGAGCCAACCAAAGCCGCCCCAAACAACAATTGCAACCGCACAAAAACTTCACGCGCAAAGAAAACCCAGGTGAAACGAATCGTCTGCCGCGATGATCCCAAGAAGGTGCCTGCACCCTCATCTCATCCCCGTGTCAACAGCCTGGTAGATTGTGGTCTCCCCGCCCTTTCTACTTGAGACTGCCTTTCTGGGGGTCTACCACGGATTGTGGTTTCCTCTCGAGTGGGTTTGAAACTTTCCGGCGTCATTTGGGATTGCTTGACTGTGCTCCGGGGGACGAGGCCACATTGTTGTCTGGAGCAAGTCCCCCCCCTGCCCCCCCCTCCCCCCTTCCCCCCCCCCCGCCCTGCCCCCTCCTGCCCCCCATGCCCGGCCCCCGCCCCCCTTCAGGATTTGGGTTTTCGCGGTTTGGGGTTTAAGGTTTTAGTTTTAAGGTTTTCAAGCTTTTGTTGGTGTTTTGGAGGGCGTTTCGGAAAGTTGATGGTGACATGCAACCATATAAAGAGAGCTGCATAAAAGCAGCCTCGTCATTGCGCCAGGCGAAGAAGATGGCCGAGACGATCCAATCGTGCCGGCTAGTGGTGCCAGGGCTGTGAAAGTTCCTATGAGTATATTGGCCTCGCTGGCCTGCTACATCCTGCTACTATATACTTGATCCGGAGGAAATCTATGCCCTGTGCAATGTGGGAAGGCAGTACATGTGATTCAGCAAAATCTAGAGACCCATGTCTTTAGCAAGGCTTGGATTCAAGAAGCTATGAAGAATTTTGGCCCGTTCGACCGGCGATACTTTGCTCTGAGTTCCCTGTCTGCCGAGGTCATTAGCCTTGCCGACTGCACTCTGGAAGATCTACACTTTGCCATCAATGCTCTGAAAGTGGATCCAAAGGCACTCCGACGCGCATCGAGTGATGGCATCAGGGTTAGGGTCCGGTGACTCTTTTGCTGCAGTAGGGTCGGCCTTGCAGGCAGCCCTAGCACTGAAAAGCTGTGCTATGCTGTGCTAAACTGTGCTCCTCAGGCACATCCTCCGAAGGTGCTCGGCGAGCTTGAAAGCGACGTAGTTTTCATCGCCATCTCCTCCGCAACTTTGCCGGAGAGGGTTCTGAGCTGCTGAGGAGATGGGTATAGTTATAAGAGGGTTATAAGCACCATTAAGCACCTCAAATGGGTTAAAAGTATAGTTGCCATATTTACACATCCCTACTTAAAACTGCCCATGAACCTTTAAAGTAGAGTGCGATCGGCCGCCGGACGTAAACTTCTCAGTTGCTTGTGCCATCCGCCACGCGGGATTTGGGCTCTCTTCAAGTTAAGAACAACACAGGGCACATGACATCGTGTGCTGTTAGTGGCCCTCCTGCGGGGCGGAGCCGCATGGCTTCCGGCTCCATTCATGGCCGGAGTCGATGGCGGTGCCACCCTTTCGCATGGGCTCTGCTGGTTTGGCTGATGGTGCATGAGGTGGACGTGCCCCTTGGCAAGAATAGTGGGGCCCCACGCGCAAGGGACTTCTCAAGCTTGCACAGAGCCGCACCACTTGTGGACTGTAGTCCTAAACCCTAAACTCCCTAAACTCCTTGGGCATAAGGTTCGACTCGCGGCACGAAACATCCACTGCTGAGTTCGGGCTGCCCGACCAGCTGCAGCGGGCAATCGGCCCCAGGCCGCAGACTCCAGGAAATCCAGCCTTCAACCTGCACATGAACCCCAGATCTACGTGTGCTGGGGTCGCTGAGCTTGATCTGCGCTTGCATGCAACAACTTCTCAGTTCGTCCAGCCTAACCCATGCCTTAACCCTAAACCCTAAACCCTAAACCCTAAACCCAGGGAGCAGCCGAGGCCACCTGCGTGCATGGTCAGACCGTTTTTGCTGGCCGACCATCAAAGATTCAAGACACTGGCAGGCCCTTTGCTCGGGATGCGGCCAGTGTATATACACACATATTTCTACATATTAGCCGATTGTTATTCTTCTGATTATTAGCGTGTTATACACATGTATTTATTCATTTTTTAATTCATTTATTCATTTATTTATTGTTTAATTATTTATTTCTCTGTTCATTTTTTGGTTTTATGATTCTTGTACAATATGAGCGCTCATATGATGGCGGTGTAATATTGATACATTAGATCATCGACGTTGGGACTGCATCTGCAGTTGCAACTGAAGACCGGAAGTACTGACAGCATAAAAACTTCATGCAGCTATGTGGGGTTGTAAAATAACCCCGCGGCTTGCGGGTTAGAAAGGAGTGCGCCTGAGTAGCGTTTAGCTTGTAAAACGATAAGGAGTTAAACAAAAAAAAAAAACGATAACATTTTGCAGGGTTCTTGCTGTCTGGGTGAGCCCCCCTCAGAAACCTCACTGTGGCCGACGTTTCCGGATCTCTAGGGGGTGAGCTGCCCTGACAAACCTCGCTGTGGCTGACATTTCGGGGTCTCTGGCTCTGAGGGCTGATGGGTTGTTCAGGTTTGGGGGCTAGACTCTAAATAAACCTGTTAACCCTTCAAACCCACGGCTGTAGGTTCGATGTTGAAGCCACCTAGGCTTTGGAATGCAAGCCAACCATGTACCCCGAAGCATTACCTTGTGTACGCAATCACTGTAAAACGATAAGAATTTTAGCCAAAGATACTGGCCGCAAACTTGCTACTGGTAAAGCTCACTGATTTTGTTTCCTGCTCATTGCATCTATCTCTCTCTCTCCCTCTTTGCCTCTGCCTTGCTCTCTTACAAACACACAACACTCACTCTAGCACAGCTTCTGTGCATAAATGTCAGCTCGGGTAATTTCCTTTTGCTTGTTCATGCCTGCATTGCTTTGTGCCTGCCAGGCCCGTGGTGAGGTCTCCCAGTTCCTTCGACCAGAGCCTGGAATACCTTGCAGCTGGCGCTCTGGCAACGGCCCCCTGGTTCGTTTGTAGCTTCGTGACTTTTCATGATTTCAAGCCCACTGAGACCTGCAAGCCCTCTATAAGCCCCTTTGTAGTGGTCTATAGTCATACGGTGTCATATGGGGCTGTGCGAGAATACGGGACCCCTAGTTTTAACCACAAATAGCAGGACTCCCTTAAAGTAAGGAATCCAATAAGGTACCCCTAATTTCGGAAACCCCCATATACTCTCCACGGTCTTCTACTAACAGTCCTTTGTAGGGATTCTAGCACCCCCGATTTTTATCCCTTTTAAAGGACTCTGTTATATATGTATATACATATATTATGTTATTTATTATATATGTATACATGTATATATATATATATGTATATATATATATAGATATTTATATTCTGTGTATCTATATATATATATATATATTTTTTTTTGGGGGGGGGGTATACTCTTCACGGTGGGGCCCTGGCTTCGGGACCTTTCTCCGTGGCCTCAGACCGCCAAGGTCGGCCTCCTCGTGGCACGGAAGGCTTCCAGCAACTCCGAGGATGGAGGCCATGGGTTTAGGGTTTAGGGTTTAGGGTTTAGGGTTTAGGGTTTAGGGCCCAAAGAGTCCCCAGTATCCCTGATCCCTTAAGAAATAGACCTTCAGTCATATTCAAGATCCCCACATAATGTAAGGTCTAGTCCTGAATTAAGGAACAGATGCCGTAAGTCATATATATTAAGGATCCCTATATATAAGCTTGGAGTCCGAGGGACTGTGGGAGTGCACATTTGTGGCATTTTAAGCTTGTGTAATGTCTCTCGTATGCTTTGTTTCTCTTGTGTTTAAAAAAAACAAATATCCAGTAGTCCAGTATACTGTGACACTAGCAAGCTCTCGGCTTGCTTATCGGGAAGGTATGTTTGTGGTTCTCATCTTCCTTGACGTCTCGCGCGTTACGACTTAAGAAAGGTTTTTCTTGGTTTGACGTACTAACAGTGAACATGCACAGTCTCCAGCTCGGTTTAGGGTTTAGGCTTGAAAAGCGCTTGTCTGGGGTTGCACATGCCAGTGTTTTGGGCATGTTCGCAAAAAAGGCATGAACGCTTGTGTCCACATACACGCACAGATACACACACGTAAAACAAATATGTATAGATATATGTATATATATATGTATTTGTTTTATGGTTTTTTGTTGATATTTAGTCATTATTTATATTCTACAGGTTGTATATAGACCATCCCCTCCCTTTGATTGGCTGCCGTCTTGGGCATGCAAGTTCTTGCGTGCGGTACACCAGGTACATCAGATCCCGGCATCACTGAATTCATCAGGCAAAAGCCCACGAAGATGCATGCACGCACAACCCTCTTTGCAGCCTGCAACGCGCTTTGCCCAGACCTTTCCCGAAGATTCTTCATGTCTTGCATAGGGCATGACGCCACCACGACGCGTCTTGCGACCCCAGCCCACTTCTCTTGAGGATGGTTGCGGCAACTAGTCTCGCCGGGGACAGTGTGCCTCGGCAAGAGTCCCCTAACTTGCAGTAGGTTATGCAAGAGACAGCCGTTTGGCTTATACTGGTTTTCGCAGGAGGGCCTGAGGCAAACCCTTTCAATCAAGTGCACTTTCGTCGCACATTCAGTGCATGTGTCAGGAGTCGACATCTCTAGAACCGAAGTTTGGTCTTGTTTCAAGCCTTGGGATGTCCCCCCTTATAATAGCAGTCCTTTAAAAGGATTATTATCAGGGGGTTACTGTAATCCCTATAAAGGGCTATTAGTCTAAGGGGGGGAACATCCCAATTCAAGCCGATCAAGCCACAGGTGCATCATGATTCTGGTCTGCCAGAAATGCTCCACGGATGCCTTGACTTGGTGGACGAAGGCCAAGGGCTGCATTAGCAAAGAAGGGGATTGCTGGGTCTAGGGTTTAGGGTTTAGGGTTTCGGGTTTAGGGTTTAGGGTTTAGGGTTTAGGGTTTAGGGTTTAGCAATGAGTCCGGATGCAAAAAAAAGGGTTTAGGGTTGGCAGGTTAACATTCATGGGCTCCTACTGGGCGAATTGGACTGCCGCAATGACACCAGTTGGCATAGACATAGAGTTGTGCTCGTTTAAGGCCCGGTGTGACATGTCCTACTCCGGGGCGAACGTGACGCTGATTTCAGAGGTTCTGAAGTTTCCGCCCTTTGGCCGGGTAACCTCTCAACCACGCAGCGTCAGAGTGTCAGGCACCTTGAAGGCGCCTAACAGCGATAAATAAAGAGTTCCAGGAGCCCACCGAAGAGCGTCGCATGTGGCTCTATCAGAGGTTGCTTCTCACCGCCATCGGTGTGATCAAGACGCCGAGGGAAGTGTGGCCAACCATCAAGTGGCTTGCATGAGAAGCTAGGGCAGTTCTGGGCGTATGTTCCGCCACTGAAGAAGGGCTTGTATTTCGCAGGTCGCAGTGCATCACTTGGGCACGACGTGGGACTGGGCTCACCTGAGGACAGCCTTGAAGCGAAGGCCCTTTGCAATGTGGTGGGTCGGATTGCTCTATGCAGCGCAGCAACTTCAGACGCACTATGGGTTTATGGGCCTTGCGGAAGCTAATGCCTGTTCGTCATGGCTGTAGGAGCTGCTTCTGACCCTGAGTGTTGCTGCATCTGAGGAATCTTCTTTACTTTGTTTGCCTTCAGTATTGTTCTGCTGCCACGTACCAGGTCTTGAGCGGCCTGGAACGAACTGTGAAGTCTCGAGCGATTGAATGGTTCAAGTTGGAGTTGCGGGCAAGATAAAGGTTTAGGGTTTATAGGGTTTATAGGGTTTAGAGGGTTTAGAGGGTTTAGAGGGTTTAGAGGGTTTAGAGGGTTTAGAGGGTTTAGAGGGTTTAGAGGGTTTAGAGGGTTTAGAGGGTTTAGAGGGTTTAGTGGGTTTAGAGGGTTTGTAGGGTTTATAGGGTTTATAGGGTTTATAGGGTTTAGGGTTGCGCAGTGACATTGTGATTGGTGGGTTTTGGGGATGTCTCGAAGGTGTGTGGAGTAAATACCATGAGCAGCCCGGATGCGGGATCTGCAACACGGGTCCTGGGTGAGGCTTTGCTGTTCTTCAACGCACCGGCTGTTTTTCATGAAGGGTCTTGTGCCAGGATTTCGATATTTGTGAGGGTCAGGTTCGCGACTGGTTCAGGAGGCAGGGTTTGGTGTCGGGCCGGCAAATCCTGACAACATAGAGGTCAGAGCAAGCTGATCTTCACTGCGGGCTTCATGTCACAGATGCTCAACAAGACCTTCTCCAGTACGCAGATCGTCGCCTTGGGCCTGCTTCTTCTAGGCCAACTGGGGGGGGATTGTGGGGATTGAATGATTTGGTTCGGAGGCAGCTCTATGCAGGCAGGCGAAGAGGACCGCAACACTCTAGGTTTTGGGTTTCGGCTTTTTTTATGCCCAACAGATCCCAAACCGATGCTTAAGACCAGGAGCTCCAAAACACCAGCCTTCAGACCCCAGAGACCCCGAGCAGGCACCCTCCTCACGCAGTTGGCCGAAGTCTCGGGTCCAGCAGTTTTGAGCCCCTTGGGCAGGTTGGGTCTTCCTGTCGCTGTTTTCTCGGTTGTATGTCAGTTGAAGATTGCGGGAGTGCGCAAGACAAACCGCAAGCTGAATCCACGGCGAAGAAGTAGAACCCCGAATTCAGGAAGGGGGCGAACGTGGAGAAAGCGAGACGGAGAGAGGTCGCGAGGGTAAAGGCATCCCAGTCTTAATCTCTAGCTTAGTGAGTTTGCTAGCTGCGACAAGCTTGCAGGCCTAAGGAATGGCTGAAAACGTGGTATAACACCTTGGCCCTCAGCCTTAGCAGCTTTAAGAAAGACGGGTGGATGTCCTGGTAACCTCAGGTGCTCGATTGCAGGATGGGTTATGTACCCCAGCCGGACTACATTCTGTGCAGGAGAAGAAGATTACCATCCTGAAGCAGATGGGAGGGAGGGAGAGCAAGAGAGAGAGCGACCGAGCGAGCACCAGGGAGACAAAGAGAGGCAGCGAGAGATCCAGAAAGAAGATCGAAAGAGCACATACATACATACATACATACATACGTACATACATATTTATGTCTTTGTGTCTGCATATATATATATATATATTTGAGATATTATATATATATATATATATATATATGGACTGTCACACGCTCCTGCTCGCTGGATCCGAGGCGGATCTGCTCCATGGCTGGGCGCGGGTCTGACAGCAGCGTGGCCGACATTGAGTTGTAAATCCTCCTGTGGTTTAGGGCAGTTTAGGGTTTAGGGTTTAGGGTTTAGGGTTTAAGGTTTAGGGTTTAGGGTTTAGGGGGTTTCTAGGGTTCAGGGTTTCTACTTTCCCGTCACACGCCTCGGCCTCAGCACGGGTTCACAAAAGGGTCTCGAGGGTTCAGGGCTCGGAGGGAGGGGAAGGGGGTGTTTCATGTGATGGGGAGGGAGGGGTAGTTGTTCGAAATACAAATTACAGGTTGTTCAGTCCAAGGGTTGGACATGCTCACAGTCAGCACTCCCCATCTAGGCTGGTCCAGGAAAACCTTAGTACGACTCAATATGTTCTACTATCAAGCATATCATGAATATTGAGAATATAAACAATAGGAATACTACGAATAATATGAATAAGATGAATTGTATTGCGAATATTAAGCATATGTACCGGAACTTGCGGCAAACCGAGACCTTATCGGAGCAGATGTTGCACCGAGCTCTGTTTTATAAGGCATTCCACCGCTCCGGCCAATCATCAGCTAACTTGGGGTGCCCTTATTCACTTGAGCAAATACGTTTGTTGTTATCGCAGAGCACGCTTTCATAGCCCTAAACCCTAAAGCCTAAACCCGAGTGCGAGAGCCGAAACCCTGGTTCCTCCAGACCTGTGTTTGCTGGCAGGTTCTGTCGGCCCTACTCTCTGCGCTGCCGAACGTCTTCTATGAGCGGCTTCTCAAGGACCCATGACCCATGTAACCCTTATTCATATGAAGAATATGGGTAGTATGCACCATATGAATGCCATAAATTCTGTGCCACAAGTACTTGGCCGAAGTGAGAATCAAGAAGGCTCTCGCATCACAACATATGCCCGAAGCGCAGGAAGACGAGGATGAGTGGGTGACCAACCTTCAGCTGACCACCTGGATCTGTCTATGGGTCATGATCATCAAAGCTGGGGGGAGCCTCAGCCATACTTGTGCCGACATTACAGGGTGTTGGGTTTAGGGTTTAGGGCGCAGGGAACTTGACTTTTCCGGATTGTTTGATACAGTCACAGGCCTGCTAGAAGTTGGCAGTCCCCTCCCCATGACCCTCCTATAAGATGAAAACCCTTAAAAGTACTTCCCTGCACCAGAACCTCCTGTAAGCCATTTCCTTGACCCGAGTGAAGATTCCGCGTCGTTGCCGCCAATGGGTTCTGTCATGTAGGACCTCAGCATCTAAGCTTTCAGAAGCCCCGGCCCAACCACTGCCGGGCAGCCGCAAACCTCAACAACCCTAAACCGCCTTACAAACCTTCTGCATCCCTCCAAACATCTCCGAAAGGATGATCTTCTTGGGTACTGGCCCTGGAATCCCGTCCTTGGCCGAAGCCACCGCCGGCTTCAATGGCTTTGTTTGGGTTCTTGGGCAGCAGTAGGCTCTGAAAGGTCATGTTCTGTCCCTCGATTGAGCTTTTCTCTTGCCGACCCTAAACACGCTAGCCCTCGTGCCCCCCAAACCTGCAATAATCACTGTTTAGTACCTTGACCGAGTTAAAGGGGCTTTTCGAGTGCAGGGATAAATTTGTCTACGCTGTATGTTTAAGTAGGTTCTTTAATTTGCTTGGGGTGCAGTAAGGCTATACCGGGTACTCTGGGTGGGACGGGGGGCTGGGTTTGCACATGCACCATAGGTCAGGCCCCAAGCTGCCTTCTAGCAGACGCGCAAAGCGAACCAATTTCTTGTGAAAGCGTATCCCTGTTGCCGTGGCCGGACTGATCCCAGGTGATTGTGGCGTTGAAGGTGCTGAACTGCATCATCATCCCTTCGTGCTTAAAATATGCGACTTGGCAGTAATCTGGCCAAGGTCCTCAACCTGGATTGGGGTGGTTGCAGGACTACATTAGTCAGTAGTCATTGACTGACCTAACCACATCCAATCGCGTCTTGGGACACCCCTTGCGATTGAAATTGGCTGTTGCACAAGGCATTGATCTTAGCTGACATAGCAGCGCTTCTTTGTTGGTCCCGAGCCTGTCGCCGAGCCTTACTGACTAATATATCCTCAGCCAGCTCTTTCTCTTGTGCTTCCTGCCGAATGCACGATCTTTGTTGTCGTAACTCTGCATTTGTTTTGTATCAAGTCTCTAAACCATGCACTGGTCCGACAGATTGCCCCAGTGCTTCCATTTGCACCCCTGGCAGGCAGACAACATATTATACGGCTATGCCAAGCCCATATCTATCGTACTTACGTGCGCGGCAACATCGGTGGCTATAGGCCCGTGGGAGCTTGGCTTGTTCATGGCTGTCATGACTCGAGTGCCTTGCTTGTGGAGCTTGCCGCAAACGTCTTGTCCTAGGACCTGAGACAGTCAGGGAGTCACCCTAAACCCTAAACCCTAAACCCTAAACCCCAAGAATGCGAACTTCTGTAAGCCCCAGCCATTTCCAAGGCAGGTTGAGGGGTTTGGCCGCTAGTTCCCTGCGCTTCAGGCCAACTGCCTTCGCTGACGATGGTGGCTGCAATCTTCTGCGTAGTTATCTCAATAATCACATACGGAAAAGGCTGAAATGAGAACATATGCGAACTCTGCACAGTGCACGACCACACCTCTAACACGCGGTGAGCCCTCATACTTCCTGACACGCGGCGGTACTTGGTTGCACGATTTTTGCTCGATACTGTTCTAGAGCACGCCTTTGCCGTGACTTGCAGACGAGCACGTGTAGAACCTGGCGGCGGCAAAGGCGCAAGAGCCGCAAGAGCAACGCTGGCCGCTAGCCCTGTCAGGTCTCAACAACTGAGATGACCGAAACCGACGCCAGAAAATCAGTGCCATTAGCTTTCTCTGAACTTTGCCAACAAGGCTCAAGGGATGAAGACTCGTACCCCTAAGGTTGTACCCCTAAAGGTTCCCCTGATTACACTGCGAATATGGCCCCTATATTCCCCTAGCGATCTTTAAAAAGGGTCCCCAAAACCCAAGGGCCCAAGGGTACAACCTTAAGGGTCCAAAGGAGAACCCCTAGAAAGACGCTGCCAACAAGTATGGCAAGATCCTGCCTTGCAGCGCGCGCACGACATGGTCACATGCACTAAGCCGATGTGCAAGGTAATGGTATGGTCTGGCACCAAGCCCGAGGTGTCTGGATCACCGATTAAGGACCCAGCTGGCTGAAACTGACTGAAGTAGGCTCCTCACTCTTGCAGAGTCCCCCAGCAAATAAGCAACTTGCGATAAGGGGGTTTCCGAAAATGGGGGGGGGGGGGGGGGGCCCTTTTGGGGGGTCTGTTCTATTTGGGTGTCTATCTTATAGGGGTCCTTCGCAAACCCCCATATCTTGCGATCTTCTTCATCATGAGAGCACGCCCATCCCCATCCCTCTCCACAGGACTCTGACTACCTGCGGCGAAAACCAGCCGAGGGCTCCCAATACGAGCAGCGGCTGGGACGTGGATCTTGTGCGGATTGAGCTTAACGCCCTCATGCTATAATCAGACCACAGCCAGAAAACACCCCGAAGTGCACCAAGAAGGACCTGAAGTAGCAAGTACTTCCCGACTTAGGGCTCAAAAAAAGAGAGGTCAGGGCTGCGCAACACACCTGGCATGTCTGAGTTGCTGACGTTGCATGGAGGTGTGTGGGTTTAGGGGTTTCGGGTTTAGGTTGTCTGGGTTCAAGGGGGGTTTGGGTTGTAGAGTTGGGCGTGCTACCCTAAACCCTAAACCCTAATTAAACCCTAAGGTGGAAAGAGATGGAGGATCTGGTCTTCAACTGCTTCAACCGCGAGGGATCGCAGGTGAAAGGCTTCGTTGTGGCCGGCGGGGTTCTGCAGCCTGCTGGACACTAGAATAGTTACCCTACTAAACCCTAAGCCCTAAACGCCCTAAACCCTTGGTTCAGAAGGGCTCAGTTTCATGAACCTGATAGTCGTGTCTGAGCCATTTTTGGTGGATAGGTTTCGGGCGGTCATGGTGCAGAGGGTTCGCTTTCAGAAGGGCCCGCAGCTTGATCCTTAAGATTCCGAACCTGGCCTCCCCCCCCCCCCATTTGCTCTCCCCGAATTCCTTCACCAAGCCCCAAGACTCCCAACACTAATCTTGAGGTATGGGGAGGGGGAGAACATCTTCGTAGAGATGTTCAAAGACGCGTGGCGGGGCGTGCAGTCCCATGTGCCTGGGCATGCATAGCAGGTCTGTGGGCTTCTTGGGAAATTTCAACCGGGACTGCCAGAATGCTGCTGCATCCCAGAGCAGAAGAAACTGCCAGCATCCCATGCAACCCTCTGGCTCAAACTCATCCTAACAAAGCACCTTAACACGGGATGAACCTGACAATCTTCGGAAGCATCGTTGACAGAATGAAAAGTGATCTGTGGACGATTGCGGCCGGGTCTTCGGGGGTACCAATCATGAAGTAGCTGACGGCTACATGGGTGGTTGTCAAAATTCTGGGTCCCTTTTTGGATCCCTATTCTAATACGGCGCCTAGTATTTTTGGTACCCCCAAACAGGGATCATGATTTTGACAACCGCCCACATGCTGACGTCAAGGTCGTGGTGACCCCGGGCATCAACAAGGTGCCCACTGCACCTGGGCTGCAGGAAGGCTGACGATGCTGGTGTGCGGCGCAGCATTCATCGTGGCCAATATTGACATATGTTTGACGAATACTACGTATGATGCCTGCTGGGCTGACTTCGGAACTTGAAAGGAAAGTGGGTATTGGAGCTAGCACAGCTAGTCAAGCAAGGTCTGTTTGGGTAGGGCACCGATGCTCGCAGGTCCACGTGCGGGACATGGCGCGGGTCGTCCGACAAGTAATCACGAAGCTTGATTGCAGCACGACCCAGGCTTTGTAGTAGAATGATGCCCTTGGTGGCAGATGGTCCACTGTTCGCTTGCTTGCTTAGCCGGGTTTTCCGGGCTCTACGCAGCAGATTGTTCACGGAATGAAGCTTGCCCCATGCACCAAACCACGTTCCTTCTTTTTAGTCGGAGCCCCAAGCCACAGAACAGAAGCATTGAAGGGCGGCCGTGTCCACTGAAAAGTGTTTTCTGGTCGCGCACACCCTGAGCAGTGTCAGTTCCATAAGCGAAGAGATTTGCTTGCGCCTGTTGGATTTCAGCCAAGTTCAAGTTGAAATAAGGAATGCGGAGGGAATCAACCCACTGGAAGCCACTCCGTACTTCTTGGCCGTAGATCAGCCGTCGCCGCCTCAGCTGTTGTGCTTCTACTACCTGCACTTAGTTGGTGGCATGGCCATGAAGCACGAGTCCAGACCAGCCCACGTTGTCAAAAGAACACTATGTAGGCATGTGCCAGAGGCAAACCTTATACAGCCCCATTGGCAACGCAAAATCCGAAAGCCCAAATCTACGCAAGGCCTGCTGCCAAAGAGGGGCAGCCATCCATGCCGGCTGCGCAATCGGAGTCCCGTCGGTTTAGGGTTTAGGGTTTAGAGTTAAGTTTAGAATTGTGGCATGCAAGCACCGGTTTGGGCTTGGCAGGGTTTGATGTCAATGAGGCGTCTGTAGCGCAGAGCAGGAAGGAATCAACTCCCGAAGAAAGCACAGAAGAGCCGAACATGAGTTTGGCAGCTGGCAGAAAGGGCATGTAACCAGAGTCACAGTCGATCAGGCAGAAGCCGCAAGCGATTGATATTTATGTTTGGTTCAATGGCATCACTTTGCTGTCTAAACTCTTGCTCCTCGAGAAGATCTTCAGTGGCTGAGGTTCTTCATGATGACTTTGAACCAAGCAGTGAGCGGTTGTGTAAAGATTATTCTCAGGGGTCGACTTCGGTGTGTTATGCTGCGAGTACTGCATTTTTGTGCCCGCAGTGCTGAGCACACAGGAAATCGTCCAAGCAATTGTGGACGAAATGGGGGAGCACTATGACGTGCCTCGCGTGCCCAAGGCGCTTTTTTGCTTAAGCTTGCGCTCGAGCTTGTATCTCCCTGCATTCTGGAACAACAGAACTCCCCAGAGCCCAATACCCCTTAATTAAGGCAGATGCCTTCAATTATATAGGGGTCCTGAATATGATTTAAGGTATCTTAGTTAAGGGATATTGGGCTCTTTGGTACATACTCCTCTCAGCATCGTGAGTAGCTGCGGGCCGTCAGCCACGCAAGCCCCAAACAGACCCCCTGCCAGGCAAGCATTGATCAGGGTGCCATCACCGACTTGCAGGACCCGGTTTGCTGCAGGTCTACTTTGGGGGTTTACGAAAATCGGGCTGCCCCTTTTATACCCCAAATAGAATAGAATCCCCTTACATCCCCTTACAGGGACTCCCCAAAAAGGGTACCCCTATTTCCGGAAACCCCCCATATAGGTCTACTTTGGGATTCGTTCATTGTGCTTTCTTTGCATTCTGCAGCTGTGTCGGGACCTAGGATGCCAAAGCCCCAAACACCCTGGACCTAAACCTCACCCCCAAGAATCCCCACCCTAAGACCCTGAACCCTAAGGCTGCAGGTGGCAAGAACCTAAACCTGTTGTATGCTTACATTCGTATGCGGAGGTTGTGATTCTAAATGCTTGTGCTCGGTTTGTGCATCTGGTGCGCTAAGGTAGCGCAACGGGCCCCATTTTCTGCACCACTTGAAAAGCATCATTCTTCAGTCAAAGCAAAGCCAGACATTTGCCGTGCGGAGTGGCTGTCAGTCGGCTAGGCGGGAAGCAAAAAAGAACTAAACCTTAAAACCCTAAACCCCAAACCCCAAACCCTAAACCCTAGACCCTAGACCCTACACCCCAGACCCCAGACCCCAGACCCTAGACCCTAACCAGCCCACGAACCCTGAAGCGGTATATACCTGCAGGAAGCCATGGCTTTGGACCTTTGGCTGGAGCCCTCGGCTATCGCACTCGCCGAGGATCTACTTTGACACGGTCAGAGGGTTTGCCTTGGGGACCAAGGGTTTAGGGCTTAGGGTTCAGGGTCTAGGGTCTAGGGTCTAGGGTCTAGGGTTTAGGGTTTAGGGCTTAGGGTTTAGGGTTTAGGGTCCATGGCATTCCCCACCCAGCCCAAACGGAAGCAAGGGTGGACCCTAAAAGGGTTTATGGCCCATATACCCTAATAGGGATCATTGTTATATAAGGGGTATATGACTATGACCCCCATATCCTGAACTACGATTTGCTCACTAATCTCTAGATTGCACTTGTACGTAAGAAAACTTGTTTTGTGAGCTCGTCGAGAAGCTATGCGTAATGCCGTGCACAGTCTGCGGTCTACAACCTGTCTATGTCTGTTGTCTACCTCCAACTCATCAGTCTGAAGCTGCAACCTTGCGCCTGCATTCGGCTGAAGCTGACGATCGGAAACTTGCTCTGCCCTGCAGCTTCTGCTCTGTTTGGAAGCTTCGGGCGGGAAAGCACGATGAAAGTCGGACTTCTCGGGACGGATTCTTCATGCATGGGGTCATCCTGGAAGCTGTTGCCGACAGTACCCAACGGAATCATCAGGACCCAAAACACCGCCAGCACACACCCAGCTGATACGAAATACCCACCCCACTTGGAGGGTTCACGGGCAGTTATAAGTAGGGGTATCATTATGGTAACTATACTTTTCAACCCTATTTAGGGTTCTCATAACCCTACTTATAACTACCCAAATGGACCTCCTAGTAGTAGAGTAGGTAACCTTTAACCTTTTTGGGGTAGTATAATCCCCTTATAATCCCAAAGGTTAACCTTTAATTCCCCCAGGTTACTGGACAACTAGGACCTCCAAGCAGATCCCATTGGCCAGGACTTCTGCGCAAGCCTCGATCCTCCGGGCTGGGTTTGCAAGTGCCCGGGCTTGACAACTCGGAGTCGGTTCAGGGTTTAGGGTTTAGGGTTTAGGGTTTAGGGTTGAGGGTTTAGGGTTTAGGGTTTAGGGTTTAGGGCCTTAGGGCTTAGGCAGGGCTTAGGGTCTAGGGCTTAGGGTTTAGGGTTTAGGATTTAGGATTTAGGGTCTTACGGATGTTTCACATTTGTAGCATCGCCTTGCTTGTGGGCACTCTTGGGCAAACATGTGCCTTGCTCCCTAGAACATGTTAAAGCACCAGAACGCTCCAGGAATGGTCTTCTGGCAAACCTCCGCACGATTGCGGACGAGTTCTGCGCCGGTAAGAAGCTGCGGTCTATGCGGACCCGTGCCTGCAATTGAGGCATGGGATGGCGAAGGGCGGGTGGCATGCCAAAGTTTTGCGAAGCTCTGTGGCCAAGACATTGGATGGCTTCAAAGACGTAATTCGGAATCGGCATTGCCCAGGATTCTCATCGCAGGGCCGCCAACCTCCGGAAAGACAAACCTGGCAGCTGGCCTAGCAATCTCTCAAACCTGGTGGTTACACTTGTTGCAGGGCATTGTGACTTCTGACCAAGATGTCAGCAGCTCAGGCCCAGGCCGTGGCAGATCACTTCAAGGTGCCACACCTCTCTTTGCCCGAGGAGGTGAGCAGTGCGGACCTGGATAAAACGATGCTTCCTCTGCAAAGGGTCTCTAGTCAACACCTGATAAATGTTTGCGAGAGGGTGGATCAGTCATTGTGGAAAAACCATTTTGTGGCACAGCACGCGACCTTGCCTTGTCCACCCAATTTCTGTGCATGTTTCAGATCTCAAAGGCCCTTTTTGATGCAGCTCAGGATTACGCAGATCTCCTCAAGCGTGTGCCACTTCAGGGGATATGTCCTCGATGCAGGCTCGATATCTGGCATGGGTTTCGACAATCCACTGCCACCCCCCTCCGAATACCCCTAAACCCTAAGCCCTCTAAGCCCTAAGCCCTCTAAGCCCTAAGCCCTAAGCCCTAAGCCCTAAGCTAAGGTGTGAGGGTTGCATGAGTTGTCCACAATCACCTCCAAGGATCGCAGATCATGAGCCCCCCCTCTCAAAGTATCTTGATGGCGGCTTCCGAAATTAGGGGTACCCTTATTGGGGTCCTAAAATAAGGGGATCCGACTATCTGGGGGCTCTATTTTGGGGGTCCCCTACTTCCGTAAACCCCCACATCTTTGCAGCTGTGCACCCACATCTTTGCTTCTGCAGGTTCCATTGGCTTTGCTCAGGCTGAAAAGCTCGTTGGTTGCATTGGAAGATTGGTTGAGTGAAGGGGTTTTTTATAATTTAGGACACGCTGTCTTCCCTAAACCCTGTTTTGCTCGTGAATTTGGCAGGCCGCAGACACGGGCTGTCACAGGTGCTCATACGGGGTGATATGGGGCTTTCCGAACTTAGGGGTACCTTCTTGGGGTCCTTACTATAGGGGAATCCTACCATTTGGGGGTCTCTTTTCGGGGTCCCCAATCTTCGTAAACCCCCCAGATGATCATATGGGAGCCTTGCTTCCTGGAGTCGACTAGGCTCTTCCGCTACGACATCGAGGTGCCGAAGACCGAGGAGGTCCCGGTGGGGGGTGCTTCGCGTTTAGGCGCTCCATGTTGAAGTCGAGGTATCCGTGGAGCTAAACCCTAAACCCTAAACCCTAAACCTAAACCCTAAACCCTGAATTCCTATAGGGCCTGTAGAGTCCTGTACCTCACGTCCCTTCGGCGTCGGGTCTGCAACTTGCCAAAGCCCCCGGACCTGTTGAAGCCGCGCTGTCACCCCTACTTGGAGGTTCATGGTACTTCTGCACCAAGGGTTTAGGGTTTAGGGTTTCACCAATTCTAACTGTACATATGGCCCACGTATATAGGCCCCTCGGTTTTAAAGGAACCATGAACCTCCAAGCACCGGTCAGGAGCAAGAGGTCGAGCCCGAGGGCGGTGAGCCCGCGCCGCCGAAGATCGAGCGGCGGCTAAACGAGGAGATCCCATTTCAGGGAAGCCTGTCGGGGTTTAGGGTTTAGGGTAGCCAGGGTTTAGGGTCCCTTCTACACTCGGTATCAACACGCTTCTATCCCGGTGCCCCTATCTTCATACATCATCGCAGTGGCCCAGAGGTGGCATTATCACTCAGGTGTTGACCTCTTGGCTGCGGTGGTTTCAGCTTAAGCTTGCGGGTATGTTGGTTGATGTTCATTGACAGGCGCGGGTCCCGAAGGTACGCCTTCGCAAAAGTGCATCCTATTCCATTCCCAGGTCAGTTGGTTCTCTACAAGTACACTGCCATCTTGCATAGATGAGCCCAGACATTTGGGGTTTAGGCTTTAGTAAGGGTTTAGGGACACGCGCCTTGGTTGGGGGCGTCGCATCCCGCCTGCTTCCTCTACCTGAAGAGCCCAACATCCCTCAATTTAAGGAAGAGGTATACCATAAATCATATTAAGGTTCCCTATACGATTTACAGAATATTCCTGAACAAAAGGGGTAGTGAGCTCTTTGGGTAGTTCATGGTTAGTTGTCTTGTATTTTGTTAACGGCTCAGGGTTGCTTCGAGGACTTGGGAGCAACAAATGGTCATGTTTCACGCTGGCGCCCGATATTCGCTCTTCGGAGAAGAAACCCTAAACCCTAAACCCTAAACCCTAAACCCGACCCTATAAACCATCATGGAGCTGTGATCGTATCTAGTTGCCTGCCAGGAGACCTGCCCAGCAATGGCAGCTCGGATGAATTGCCAGGGCGAGCATCTGCGAACAACAACTTGGTACTTGTATGGCAACAGGACCATTGCCAAGGTCTGAGTTTTTGTAAGAAAGCTTAAAACGCGCTCGGAACCTTGCAGTAGGTAGAAGCACTCATCAGCTCTGGTTGTTGAACAGAAGGATATGGAAACATGAGGCACTCAACCCCGAACCTGCACTGAACCCACGGGCATGGGTCCAATGCAGTCCCAGGTCATCATCACGCAGGCCCCGGCTGCTATCTGCAAGGCGCGCTGGCAGAGCAGTGGTGCCTCCCTGGAGACTTTCGAGAAGTCCATGCAGGCCGACGGCTAGCAGACTCAATTTGGCAGTAGTGGGAGGGTTGCTTGCTTGGATGGGATCACGTGGAGAGCAAGAGTCATCAGCGCAAATCCAGGAGGGAAGCTGTCATACTTTGCTATGACCAAGTGTGACTGCAGCGCCATTTTGTTGAGGTAGGAGCAGGCTAGGACGCTGCGATATTTGAGGTTGTAGTAGGATCAGGGCAGGGGTGGTATACCACGCGGGTTGTTTCAGGGTTCCACGTCTGAGTGGCAGGCCTACATCAACAACAACCTCACCCAAGACGTGCACAGCCTGCAAGACTTCTTCCAGGATGTCGCTAACAAAGGTGTGCTGAACCTGCCCATCGCGGGCAAAGATGAGGAGGAGCCCTAGATCCTGGCACCATATGAAGCCAGAGAGTCGGAGAGCCCCCTCAAGCGTGTCACCGCCCCAGAGTCGGAGTTCAGCGTCTGTCTGGGTCAAGCCCTAATTATTATGAAGTATTGAGGCCGTGAAAGAAAAGCCCATAATCCGATGAAAACACGCCAGGCGAGTTAAACCGACAGACGCGAATCCACCCGGGAATTGGCACATTCTTTGGTTGGCCACCTTCAATCAGCAAGCCCTGCAGTAACAGAAGGTTGATGTGACCCACCACTTACCGTGGGGAGCTGTATGTAAGAGTGCGGGCGAAGGGCTTGTGTGGACTGGGGGTCTTGGGGCGGCCCACCTAGTGAACCTCCCCCAACAAGCATTGTGGGTTTTGGGATTGCGCGAGTGGCAACAAAAACCTCTGGCTGCAGCTTCCTCATAACCACAAATGCGAGTTCTGCTTTGTAACATGGATGAAACATTGAGGAACAGCTTTCATATGTTTGCTGGATGTCTAGAAATCACCCTGCCTTTACACCCGCACAAGCTTCCGTCACTAGTCCATCTACACCTGGTTTCGTCTATAGTTGTTTGTGTGTGTATAGCTGTCCATGCATCCAAGCTTACATATTCATTCAATCATCCATCTTGGTTGCAGATCTCAAACATCAGGACCTCTTCGAAAGTGCCCGGATCTACATCGAGCGGAGCGGGCGGCCGTTCAACTACCTGACCCCTGAAGAAGAGGTGGGGTTCTGGCGCTCCAAAGGGTTCAATGATTATCCATCTTGACTTGAGCCTAAACCCTAAACCCTAAACATGGTAATGTTCGGAGCGGGTGCTTGTGTGCGCGCAGTGCGGGTGGCGAAACATGCTAATGTCAGATGAGTGCCTCAGGTTCCCAGGCCCCTTGGTTTGGGTGTGATTGGATATTATGTGTTGTTGTTTGGTAAAGGATGGGGACTGAGGGCTGAACAACGGAGTTTGAAAAGGAAACTCCGTGTATCACACCAGACTTCGTGACCTACCAACCGATGCCTTGCCGGCCTTGTGCGAGTGTAAGAGTCGAAACCCTAAAGCCTAACATCAGCTTCTAAATTCAAGGCCTCAGCCGATGCGAGCCATGAGCTTATGCCGGCTAATGATTGACCGAAACCCACCAATTGCTCAAGAACCCCAAAAAAACTACAAAAAACAAATCTGGAGGTTTCTCGTGAGATCCGGGAGCGGCGGGCAGAGATGCTTGAATGGAGCAAGGTTAGGGTTTAGGGTTAGGTTGGACAGAATTTGTGGGCTAGGAGTTTGTTTGGGGGGGATACGTTCGAGGCTCTGCTCATCAATTGAAGCAGCGCTGCCAGTAACCAGCCAGCATGAAGGTAGGAGGGAGCCAAACTCATGGGTAGTTCTCTTCCTGTTGGGGTCCATAATTGAAGCGTGACGTACGACGTAGGGGACCCCAAAAGGGGGCCATAATTTAGAGAAGTAACCCTCATCTCAGTCGGTTGAGTTACCGAGGAAGGCGAAAGCGGCCGCCGAGGCAGAAGAGTCGATGAAGCAGAAGGAGAGCGGGCTTGTAGTTCTGAACGTTCAGACCCCCAAGATGGGGATGTTTCCCCTTATACTAGCAGTCCTCAATAGGGATTACAGCACCCCCTTATTACATTGCTTATTGAGGACTGTTTGTATAAGGGGGAACATCCCAATGTATCGTTCTTCTGTTCTGCATGCATGCTAGCAGAAGCTTTTGTTTGTTAGGGAAGATGGTGCGAGCACGTTGTTGGGAAGGCACAATAGCAGCGCTCGGCAGTGTTGTGCAGAGCAGCGACGCACTTTAGTAATGTTGCAGAGTTTCCTGGATGATGTGCCATGTTGTATCCGAAGTCTCGCACTAGGAGACTGAAGCTTGCAGCAGCGCGGAGAAGAGGGAAGAAGAAAGGCATGCATCGCGCCTTCGCATCATCGCCGACCATGAGGTGCAACGTAGGTGCAATTGAAGTTGTAGGATCGCATCTGGTTTCCATTACTTCCATATATTCGTGTTGTCAGAATGAGGGATTGACACCTTTCTGATGACGTGGGCCATTACGGTCTGCGTGGTTTAGATCTGGAGCAAGGTCCTGTTGGCGTTGGTTCTCCCAGATTTTCGGAAGGTTGTATAGTAGGTCATAGTGTACCACCATAGTAACTCGTAAAACATGGCAGTAGTCGTCGTGGCCGCGTAGTACTAGTTATGCTCATGTGATAGTTATAGTTTATCTATGTAGTTTTGACGTGGTATTGATCGTGGGTTTCCTGCAACGTGTAGATGTACCATTTCCGAGAAACGGCCTAGAACTGCCGACCATGGCCGCAATCTTGGCACCCACATCAACTTGTGACACCTGGATCGCGAGGAGCTTTTTTTGGTTTAGGGTTTAGGGTTTGTTGAGCCTCAGACAGTCCTGGCATGAAGCAGTTTCCAGGTTCAGAAGGTGTTGTTGGATTGGTAGCCTGCTGTAAATCTGCATACAGTTAGCCGCAACTAAACCCTAAACCCGAAACCCTACTATAAGACCCTAAACCCTCGAGCCTAGGGAAAAAAAACCGCAGGCTGCGCAGCGGAAGCTCCTGGAGCTGCCACTGCGAGAGTACCTCATGCAGCTGCTCGGTTGGCTTTTTGAGTGGCGGGGTTTCCGAAATAGGGTTTAGGGTTTAGGGTTTCCTCGTTCAAAAAGGGTTTAGGGTTTGGAGGACAATCTACAACGAAGGATACTACAGTATCTGTAGTTTTAATTTGGGAGGTATATTAGGGGATCCCTGGTCAGCGTAGACCCTCACGTGATCGAGGACTGAAGACTGACTTTACATCGGCAGCTTACGCGTTGCGCCAGGTACTGTGTAGTCCGACAAGATTTCGAGCCATAGCCCCAATTCCCTGAGGGTCAGGGTTCATAGCCCTAACCCTAAACCCTAAACCCTAAACCCTAAACCCTAAACCCTAGACCCTAGACCCTAGACCCTAGACCCTAGACCCTAGACCCTAGACCCTAGACCCTAGACCCTAGACCCTAGACCCTAGACCCTAGACCCTAGACCCTAAGCCCTCGCCCTAAGCCCTAAGCCCTAAGCCCTAAAGGGCCCTCCCTGAGTTGGGCTTGTCTCATGCCAAAAGAGCCCAATATTGCTTAATTAAGGAATAGACCTTAAATCATATATTAAGGATCCCTATTATGATTTAAGGAATATTCCTTAATTAAGGAATATATACCTTAAATCATATATTAAGGATCCCTATTATGATTTAAGGAATATTCCTTAATTAAGCCATATTGGGCTCTTCGGGTGAAGCCCAGTTCTGAGGTACATGGTGCCCAACCTCACTGAAGGGCTGGTGGAGGTTTGCAAGGCGCGAGCCGCAAGCTGAAGCCCTTGGAGCGCTTCGTTGCCACCGGCAACAGAACAGGGTTTAGGGTTTAGGGTTTAGGGCAACAGAACAGGGTTTAGGGTTTAGGGTTTAGGGTTTAGGGCTTGCACCATAAGTTGCTAAGCGGAAGGTGCTGCCAGATGATCCCGTCGACTATTTGGCAAACTACCTGGAGCAGCACGCGGCAACTTGCTAGAATATCGGGACTTAACTTAAGCAGTTGTAAATGCCGAATCCGAGGCGGTTTCGAGGGCTTAGGGCCAAGACGTACCACATCACTACTTTGCTTTGCATGCAGGAGGGCACAGGCTGTTCATTTTGTGTTTTTCACAACGCCGCAATCTGCAAGCGGCACAGTTTTCAACCCCGCGGCTCAGGCAGATGCAGCTGCTGCGAAGCAGTGAGGCGCACCAACAGTTGCACTCCTGATTTCGTGAACGTGGCACGAAACAAGGGAGAGCTTCCCAGAAAATGCTCCTGTTTGCTACCAGTACCTTGAGCTGTGAAAGTGTGGAAGGCGTCTGTTACTTTGACCTTGTCTGATGCTGCACCCCAACTAGCGACCCAACAGCACTCAGGGGGGGCGGGGGAGAAGGGGGGGGGCCACTTGTAACATTGGAGGCCCAGTATTCTGCTATGTGTGGCACAAGCAGCAGGGGCATTGCGTATGCAGTTGGGTTCGTGTGTATGAGGTTAGGTAGCCTTGATGTGTGCAGCTCCTTCCATTTGCTGACGAACTTGGTTGTGCATCGTCACCGCCAGGCCGGCGCAGCACTTGAGAGCAATCACGTAGAGTAGGTTTCACATCTTTGCCAGGCTCTTGCCTCCCCCACAGCTATCTTTCTTGACGGATGGTGACGTTCAAAATTTGCTGATTTGTTGACAAAGGCCTGCTGGAAATCCTCATGGCATAAAGGGAGTGCCAGTAGCAGCTCGTGATAGCAACCGTTCACTGTTTCACCGCCCGCACGACCGACATCAACTGGAAGCACGTGCTGCAAACAGGCCACCCGCAGGTGCTTGCCGAATCTTGCGCCACCTACTCGACACAGATGGCCCTTAGTTTCGGCTTCTAACGGTCTAAGACCAGGAGTCTCGGAGTCACACAGGGACTACCAGCACCTTCCGCAACCGGCAACCGTGGAGCGCCCTGTAGATCCCCAACGCCTCTTTGGACCTTATCGAGGTCTGCTTCGCCCATGGTGCTGGCCCCAGAAGGCAGAGAGCAGGCATGCAGGTCGAGCTTCTCAGTTTTACACGCAATTGAACCGGACATCGTAGCCAGCAACTAGCAGTGACTGCTAGGCTGGGACCCAGAGTATTTGTTTGGGGCTTTAGGCTCCCTTATAACCCCCTCTAAACCAAAAAGGGCATCCTAAGTTCATCCTGGGTCTAGTAGAACATATCATAGGAATCGATAGTCAAGACGACAGGTGTGGGCTGCGTGGTAGCGATTGCCACCCAAGGTGAAATTATGCTTGCTGCGCAGTGGTACCAAAATCTCTCAAGAGAGATTCGACGCTGTTCGCCCCAAATCCCGAAGCCTCTGACAAAGACTGTCGATCAAAGCTGGCAGGGACGGTGTAGGATTGGCTAAGCTCTTAGTGTGTTGGGTCACAAAAACAGGCTTCTGGTTATAGACCCCCCATTGACACCCTCACCTGCCCCCGTTTTCTCTGAATCCATCCTGCATCCCCCCTTGATCTTGAGGGTGAAGTTGATGCCCGACGCCTGGCCAGAGCCCTGGAAGCCATGTCGAGCCTCACATTTCGGGGTTAAGGGGTTTAGGGATTAAGGGCTGAGAGACGTGTGTTCTTTTCCCGGCAGTCGATTACAGTCCAGTTGCAAAACGGATTTACGGTAAACTTTAGAAAGTTGGAACATATCTTAAGGATGATGAGTGCCGGGATTCTCTTCCGTATACCTTTTGGGGTGTGGGGATAAGGATGTTCCAACTTGTGGGGGTTTACTGTAGGGGGTTTAGGGTTTGAGCACAAGCCGGGGGGAGTGGGGGCATCGCTTGGCGGGCTTTTTAGGTCTCGGGATGACCTTTGTCCCCGCTCAGGGCGCGCTGGTTCAGGAGCAGCCTGAGCTGGAGCAGTTGCTTCGCACTGTTTGGGCGGAGGTGGGACCGTCAATGCTATTGCCTTTAACATCCGGGTTTCTTGTTCCTTGCTTGTCGACTGAGTGTGCTGCCGTTTTTCAGTTGCTGTTCCTCTTCTTAGGCTGTTGTACAGGCATCGCATCTAGCTGGAGTCATGTGAGGCGCATCTTAGTAGCCCCACACCATGCCACATCTTACACCCAACCCAGAACCTCAGCTGACCCAAAGCTCCGTTCTGATCTGCGACGCAGGCCAATGGAGCTCCCGACGGCAGCCAGGCCCGGTTGGAATGGGTTTGGAGATGGTTGGCGACGATGATGGACCGTCATAAGGACTAGTTGGGGCTCGGGTTTGGGGTTTGGGGTTTAGGGTTTAGGGTTTGGGGTTTGGGGTTTAGGGTTTAGGGTTTGACGTCTTGCAGAGCTGGACTCGAACGCAAGGGTTCACAGGCTGGGGCTTTTTTGTGCCGGGGGGGGGGGGGGGTGCGACTTGCTTGTGCACATCTGTGCTTCTGGTATCTCCAGCACCAGCGGCCTGTTGTCAGTCGTCTTCTCCACAGCATCACGCAGCCTTACGCCAACGTAAGCCCAGACAAAAACTCAGCACTGACCTCTTACGAGACTCCCCTAAACCCTGAACCCTAAACCCTAAACCCATATACCTTGGAGTACAATACCATGACAGCATCAGGTGCCGAGAGCTGCCCTGGTGGAAGCCACGATGCAGGCTCTTGGCCCTCGGGTGCAGTCACGAGTATTTCGCGAGGATTTAGGGTGTTTTAACGTTAAAACACCCTCTAAATCGGCTCCGTGCTTCGAACTTACAGGCTTTCTTGCTCCACATTGACATCGTCCTTAGCGGGTTTGCAAGCAGTGCCCCGATTAAGCCTGATAGGCGAGGAATCAACGGACAAGTCGTCGCGTCTCGCAGCTGCGACATCTGCACGGTCAACAGCTTGACACCCGCATGGGTACCATGGTATGCTTGCAGTGCGAAACCTGTTAATTAAGGGCTCTCAGCTTCTTGCATGGCCCCAAGGGGAATTTAAAGTCAGCAGGTGCAATGTGGGGCACAAGGGATACACTTCCCACCACAGCCACTGCGGAGGGGAATAGCTTGGATCTCCGTTTATTCCATACCGGGCTTCTAGCCGAGGCTTGTCCATGCCAAGAAGGCCGCACCCCACCCAATTGTTTCTCTGGCAGGATCCGTTGATGCTACATGCATTCGCCCGTCGCCGAGGGGACGAGGGGACGAGTTTGAAAGTCTGTGGAGGCTTGCTTTCCCCCCGTGAACTTAGGGCATTGCTGCTTGGACATGACCCCTAAACCCTAAAACCCTAAACCCTATGAACCCTAAACCACTTTGTGAGCCGTTTAGCTGCTGTTTCGGATCTCCTGCAGGCGCAGTGGGCGATGCACACTATAGCAGAAGCGGGAATCGGGAAATGCATGCCTTGCATGAAACACCCGTGCAAAGCCTCTCAAACAACACATGAAGCTGAAACTGCACCAAAGCGCCGGAAGACCACTGCAAGCGTTGCGTTTAGTAAACAGGCTAGCTACAGGGGCTGTTCTTCAAGGAAGACTGCCCTGTCCTAGCCGTGCTTGCAGATGTTCCGGCTGAATCACTGAAGGCCGCAAGCCCTGTTAAGACCTAAGCTTTGCTGAGCATAGGGCAGCTTCTCTGAAGCATGTCAGCCCCTAGTCAACATTGAACGGTCTCGAAGACCTGCCTTGCACCCAACATCGGACGCGGCAAATGGAGCTCTCCTTTGCCGGACCCGCATTTCCTACTGTGCATCGACTGGCCTGGCGTGACTTTGTCAGCACATTCAGCACCAGCTCAGCATGCGGAGTGTTCAGGGCTGCTGCATTCGTCTTCTTTGTGGCTTCTTGGCACAGCTCCCATTTTTGTCCATGCAGCATACCAGCATTGGTCTGTGCCAGTTCTGTTTCATTGAGGCCGTCGACTGCGACCTTTGGGCTTGCTGCTGCTGAGTTGGATTCTACTGGCCGTGTCCCTTTGGACAACGTTTACCCGCGAGGACTGCGAAATCGACGTCCGAAGGGTGCCAGGTTTATGGGCAAACTACATCCACGATATGTTTGGTGCCCTAAAAGATCAGGCGCCTTCTCGGCTTGTTGGGTGCAGGGACTCATCAACCAAAGCCGAAGCTTCTATCGGACATGTGACATGTGACATGTTGAATATGATGACGACCGCTGCATTGGCTGGGTCGGGCGATGCAAGTGGCGACAAGTGGCGACGGCTCACATGCCTGATGCCTTACGAGAGATAGGTAGGCCGTTGAGACATTGCATATGTTCCCTTATTGGGTTTAAGAGGATCATATTCAGCATGATTATTCAGAGGCTTTTAGGGAACATCCTGGAGAGGTACCCGTGGACATGCGAGGAGCAAGTCCTGTGACTCCTGTGTAGCCTGCTCAGCCAAAGTTTGCAATTACACTGCTGCTGCAGTCTGTGTCCTTGGCTTTGCTATTCAATTGTGTCTTGCGTCGTGCCAAATGCGTATTTGCGAGCAGAACCACGCATGTCTAAATGCGCAAAGACGAACAACAAGCGGTAGAACGTCTCAAGGTGTAAACTCCACGACACCACCGCGCAAACCAATGTGCCAAGCGCCAAACACAAGAACAACCGACACACATATCGGCAACAACGTTGAGGCTGGCCCCTCCAGGGTTTGCATACAGGCGTTGCTTGTATGTTGCCACAGGTTTTGCTTCAAGATCGCTGTGCCCTGTATGCTTGCTGTCCTCCTTGGCGTGGTCATTGCCACCCCTTCTTTAACTATCCTCAGTCTCACCCGCAGCCAAGACTGGATATGCAAGGGCTGCGTAGGGGTCAGATGGCACACTGACAAAGCTCGAAGCCCCTGCGAGGAAGGCTACGAGAGTGAGGGCTTGACCGAGTCGATCCCCTTCCAGCGCTACACTCTCATCATCGCGGCAGCACTTTGCCTCGAGTGGCACACTGTAAGTGGTGAAGCCTGTATAGTACGATTCACTGTGGGTCTTGGTGATCAGGGTATTCAGGGTGCAGGGGGGTATTGGCCTTTATTTATGGCTGTCGTCGGTGGTGCGGATTTCAATTGAACAGGTCACCGGCCCTGTGTTCGAAGTGCCTGCTCTTCCCATTTAGAGTGCAGATCTTGGAGATGCGGACAGCGTTTCCCTCGGTATGAGTTACTAGCATAAGTTCAGTGAGCCTTGTGCACCAATTATGGTGGAGTTCAGACCATGCCGCTTGGACGTGATTGCAGCGCATCCTTGAGCTACTTGTTCTTACATCTTGTACAGCCTAAGGCGATGCTGCAGATCGTAGCTGCCTCTGCAGCTATAGTGGTCCTGCATGCACGCACTGAGTGCTTGGTTCACATCGCGGCCATTCTGTCCCTGCATCAAGTTGGTCGTTTGTGCTTCATACTGTGTGGGACCTGATGCAAAGCTCTTCTTGAGTTCCTACTTAGTGTTCTTTTGCGATGGATGTAAGGTGAACACTTCTGGGTTGCATCAAATAACCAGGTTGATTCGAAGCAGGTGATGTAGGTTGGACGGAACCGATAAGTCTGGTAGGATCAGCTGGGTACGTTGAACCACGCAGTACGCAAAAGGTGGCCTGTCAATTTGCCTTGAAGACTTCGTCCTGCTCAGCATCCGCCAAGTCTAGCGGCGTGTGCCTGGAACATCATGTTGGGATCCTGTAAGATGTTGAAGTTTGGGCGCCACGGAGAGAGAAGGCAAATGTCGGTCAATAGGCTATTGAAGAAAGGTCACTGTAAAAGCAGTATAAGAGGGTCACCAGGCAGCGAAAAGGTAACACTAAAAGCCAAGGCTCAGCATGTGGGCCAGTGAGGCGGCCCTGGTGGTCAAGTTCATCTTGCAGATCCATGGTCTGAAGGACTACGGTCTGGCTGTGGCCGTGTCATTGGGTTGCCTACTTGGTGTAGGTTGGGGCGTCCAGAAGACATTCATCCACAATGCTGAGGCAGATATAGAAAAGGTGCTGGGCATGGATATGGGCCGCCACAGAACGTACCAGCTGCTCAAGGCAGACCTCCTGCTGTCAGTACTCGTGATCGTGGCCGTTGCCAGCCAGAGGCTCATGGTGGATTTGGAGTCACAGTGGCCTGAGACATTCAGAATCATGGCAAGCGTCGCCTGCTGGGCATTTCTAGGGATCGGCATCGCGTTCAATCTTTGGACGCTCCCTTTCGTAAACCGTGTGATTCGGGCGGTGGATGACACAGCAACCCGTGGGGCACAATTGGCACCTGAAGCAAAGGCGAGCCAGGGAAAGTCGGACAGCGATGACCCCGACATTCAGAAAATCTTAGCCAGTCTCAAAACGCACAGGACGTTCATGCTTGGCTTGTGTTTGGCGAGGCTGCTGGTCTTCGGGCACATAATGCTATTCGGTGGCTTCTTATGGCCGATTGCTGTTGACTTGCGTGTGCGGGTCACCGACAGCCTCGACGAGACATTTGCAGCATACCTCCTCACAGACTCTGTGCATATTACCACATTATACTACTTCTTCTTGCTCGGCGTGATCTGGTATGTGTATGGAGGTCTGTCTTCCATCGCGGCAGTCCACGCCCGATTCTACGACGAGCATCGGCCAGCAATCATCCTTTTACACCAAGAAATTAGTACTTGGAAGACCCAGGTCACAGCCATCATTCTCTACAAGGGGAGTCGAGCTAGAGAGTATCATAGAATCATAGCATGAGCGAAACGTCATTGCAAGGGGCACGACCGGACCGGGGAACCTCCAAAATCACCAAGATAATTACACCCAAACCTAGTTCAATTGAATTTCAATGAAAGCACTGCGGCATTCAGGCTTCCAGGCTGGGGGCTCGCATAAGAAATGGGGGGAGGGATCAAAAATCTGTGGCCTGACCCCCCACCACCCCCCAGGATGTCGACTCTGCGTCTGGTTAGATGTAAGGCATGGGACAGCATGCTGCCGAACTATCGATTATGATATTATTACCAATTATTCTGGTAATGGATATTTACCAGAATTAACTGGCATTCGTGATCTCTAAGGAGGAACTGCGCTTGCTGAAGCGCGACTACCAGCGAGCCACGTTCGTTCCCGGGAGCGATTCGAGATGGCAGGCCAGATGCCATCACGAGTTGCCACCATACGGGTGGCTGTTAAAATTGTGGTCCCTTTTTGGGGGGTTCCCTAAATGTTAGGTGCAGTATTTTGAAAGGGATCCAAGAAGGGACCATAATTTTGACATCCACCCATTTGGGGACTTCCGAAAAATAGGGGTACCCTTTTGTTGGGGTCCCTTTCAGGGGATTCTGTTCTATTTGGGGTATCAAAGGCGTGCCCCCATTGTGGGGAATACCCATATTGGATCGGAGGAAGCATCGTTTCGTTGCACCAAACCTCTCTTTAGACTCTCTAGTAATTAGATGCGACAGACCTGTACGGGCAGCGATGCAAGTGTACAGCTGGATGCAGTGCGGCGTTGTGTGATGGTGTATGTCCTCGTACTCCGTCAGCATGAGACAAAGGGAAACGATTGAAAAGGTCGTGACGCAGTGTGAAGGTTACATTTACATATTGGATACTGTACACGCCGGATGCTCACGGAAACGTACTTGCTGCTGCAAGCAGCTTTCGGAGAATCCCGCAGCACCATCCGAGCATCCCGGACGTCCGAAAACACTACAAGCCTGCCCTCAAAGCCGAGTTGCAAGCCCCTAGCCCAAAACATCAAGCCGGTTCTTGCGCCGGAGGCCCAAGTGGAGGATTTGGCTTGCCGCGCGCACCTGTGCAAGATACCGGGGTCTTTTTTTAAATCTTCTTGTGGCGTCACCGAGAAGACAACCTCATGGGTTGTTCAGACACAGCAGTAGCAAACCCTGTCAATGTCTACATTAAGTGACTGCCGTTCCGGCTCGGGGGCCTAAGGAGTCAGGTCGTTCACTCAGGCAGTAGGGTTCCAGAAGGGAGGCTTTTGCTGAGCTTAGTTGCCCCCTTTGTCGCACCACGCTACGACTTCAGAGCCCTGGTTCAAAAGGGTTGCGTCGTCTACCCGACACAGCCCCTCGGGCCCCAAATGCCAACTTGCGACCCTGCACAGCCCACGCCAGCCCTAAGCCCTGGAAGTCTGCCGAAGCCTCCAGACATCTCCAGACACGCCAGGCCCGAAAAGAGCTCAACAACCGCCATCAACCGCCCTGTGCCGCCCTGACAAGAACCCCCCACCCCTGTGCACAGTTCATTAGATGTTGTCATGGTGCCATGTGGGTAGTTCTCTAAAGTAGTGCACCTTTTTGGGGGTCCTGTTTAAAGGGTGCCGCCTTATAATGGGTACCCAAAAAGGGACACTATTTCGAGAACTACCCATGTCATCCAAGGATCACCATCGAGGCGCTGTTGGACTTCTACGTTGGCCTCGGGACCACGTACATGCCGAGCTTTACTCCAGGAAGGCACTGAGTGCGATTTTCTACTATTTGCTTAAGAACCCCCCCCCCCCCCCCGCAAAAAAAAGGCACAATAACAATCCCTATATTACCCTTGCAAGGAAGAGTCTTTGTGTTTTTTGGGTGTTTGTTCCCCACCTTCGGTGTGGGGTTGTTAGATTTTAAACTCAACTCTTCTCCTCGCCCGGAACTCTTCTCCTCGCCCGGTCTACTCCTAGAGCCTCCCTGGACTGCCCAACCCCAGAGACTCCCAGGAGTGCCCGATTTCAGAGACTCCCTGGAGTGCCCAATCACCTGAAGCGCCCAACCCAGAGAATGCTGGAGTGCCCAATCCCAGAGTCTCCCTGAATTGCCCAACCCAGGCCAACCCAAGAGACTCCCTGGAGTGCCCAACCCTAACCGTGGTGCCCAACCCCAGAGTCTCCCTGGAGTGCCCAACCCCAATTGCAAGCAAAAACTGAGAAAGTGTATTTGAATCAATGTGTCTGTTTGCGCTCTCCTTCCTTTTAACGAGGAGCAAGGTGGGGATGCTCCGAAGTAAAATAATAGCAATTCGTAGCTTGCTTCGGCGCAAGAGGGAGACCGGATGAGGGGAAGATGGGGACACGTCTCGGAAGGCACACCACCCATGACGTGGTGCGGCAAGCCATCATTCCATTGAGCGTGCCTGGGCTCAGCTGGCACACCCATCCCTTCGCAATCCTTTCTGCAGTATCTGCCCTGGGTTCTGCACAGACCGGTGTCTCCAAGGTCTCTCAGAACTCCTTAAGTTTCATGCCACTGAGCCCAAAGTGCATGAAGCAACGCGAAACAGTGCGATACAGCAGCCAGCCAGAACCTCGTATCAGACAGCAGGCTTGGACTCGCATCAGGAAGTGGGGGTTTACGAAAAATGGGGACCCCTAGAATAGCTCCCAAGTAGTCCGATTCTCGTTTCATAGGGCCCCCAAGAAGGTACCCTAACTTCGGAAACCACCAAATAGCTCCCCTTTTGCTTGCACTTACTGTTATATGCACCTTCCCGGTAACCCGGTCGTCCCGACGCTGGAGCCTTGCATTGTACCGGCCCTGTGCACCCCGTTCCCGTTTCGACCTACGCCCTTGAAACCCAACTCAGCAAAGGCAAGTGCCGGATCCGACCTGGCGAAGGTCCTGATGAAAGGCGGCGATCCAGAATGCGGGGTTTTGCAGGGACTGTGTGTGTGTGTGTGCACGCACGCACGCGCCTACCTAGATTTCAGAAGCGTTGTGCATACGATCGGTCGCGGGCCTTGCCCCAATAATGCATACAGTGAGGCTTTGTCACCAGTCTTTTTCCATGCGGTGATCCCCAGACTACAAAGTCACACAGCATACCCAAAGAGCCCAATATTGCTTAATTAAGGAATATACCTTAAATCATATTAATCCCTATATGATTTAAGGTATATTCCTTAATTAAGCAAGAGCTCATGGCGGGTCCAACACCAAACTCCACAACGACTTTGCGGTGTAGCATGGTCTCCTCGGCAGAGTCTGCGCGGGAGAGGGAACATCTGGCTCAAGGCGGCCTTGGACATGCACATACCGGACTTAGGGTTTAGGGTTTAGGGTTCAGGGTTTAGGGTTTAGGGTTTAGGGTTTAGGGTGCCTCCATCTCCAACAGGGTATCTACTTCCTGGCAAAGCCTCACACACGCACCCACATTTTTTCGATTGGAAGCCGCGAAGGACTGGAATTCCATGACTGCGTTCGACATAGCGTTGTGCGTTATCAGAGCATGTGGGACTTGTGGTATCGACGACTCCGCCACCAACAAGTAGACTAGATTATTCACGGCGTTCCCGAGATCCGAAATGGAACCCTCAACCCTATCCCTGGCACGAAGCCTGCTGTTGCAGAGAGTGCCCTAAACATCCGAACCTCCCCTCGCCCTTCCTCCCCCCCCAAAACCCAAAACCCAAAACCCTAAACCCTAAACCCGAAACCCTGAACCCTGAACCCTGAACCCTGAACCCTAAACCCTAAACCCTAAACCCTAAACCCTAACCCTAAACCCTAAACCCTTAAAAACTAGCAGAAGGGGCATCCTCGAGCTCTGATTGGCCTTGGCACAGGTCGGCGCCTTCCACCACAGGCGATGGTCTCCCACACCTGGCGCCCGGGACCAAACCCTAAACCCGAAAAATTGCCAAGTAAGGTTTAGGGTATAGGGTATAGGGTTTTGGGTTTTGGGTTTAGGGTTCAGGGTTTAGGGTTTAGGGTTTAGGGTTCTAAAATTGCCAATTACCCTAAACCATAAAATTGCCAATTAGCTCAAAACCCTAAAATTGCCAATTGTACCCCAAAACGGAGTTTCGTTCTTGGGGCCGAGGGTTTGCGCGCAGTTTTTGGGGTGCTTCGTGGTCATGTTCGAAGAAGTCCCCTGATGTGCTTCCGCAAAGACTTCTTAGGAGCTGCGTAGGTAACCGTGAACCTCTTGGGGTACAGACATACTCCTACCACAGTTGAAATCTTCACCTTGGTTTGGCCCAGGGTATCGTAGTCACGAGAGCTAGGACTGAGGGTTGCGGCCACTTTTGCAGCTATTTCTATAGCCCCCTTAGGACTTTTGTATTTTTATTTATGTAAAATCCAAGGAAACATTAAACAAATGTTGTTCAATTAAGGTTCGAAGCGGAGTATAGTTGTTGGTTCTACAGTTAAGGGGATAGCATAGAAATCGCTGGTTTTTTTAACGCTAAGCTGACCCGCCTGGGGCCAGGGATCGCCTGGTGCGACAAGAGTTTAGGTTTGAGGGTTCAGGGTTTAGGGTAGCCTGGATGCAGAAAGGGGTTTAGTGTTTAGGGTTTTGATTTGGGGTTTGTGTCGATGTCTTTCGCAGATGGTGAGCCGGGAACCAGGTCAATCGAAGACGTGTCTGCTGGCATGAGATGGGTTGGAAGTCTGGAGGGGAAGTTTGAGAGTTGATGATTCTCACCAGGAGGGCTCATGTTTGCGAACACACGAAAATTCTTGAGATCCGAAATCTTTGAGACCCTGAACCCTAGACCCTAGACCCTAAACCCTACACTCCAAATTCCTAAGCCCTAAACCCTCCCCAAACCCTAAACCCTCAACCCTAAACCGGCTGATCAGCCATCCCGAGGCGAGGCCGCTTCAGGGACTTGGTGGCAGCAGTGGTCGCAGACAGCCTCGGCGAGCCCCACGGCTTGGGTTCACAGGGTTTGGGGTTGAGGGTTTAGGGTTTAGGGTTTAGGGCTAGGGTTTAGGGGGTCAGCCTAAAACCCTAAACCCTAAAGGCCTCCGTCTTCGGGGGTTCCTCGTTGATGTTGGGCCCGACCGCTTCTTGATCAGAAGCCGCACACTCCTGAGAGCAGCCGAGAGCCGAGGCAAGAGTATGGCCGCATTGGCAAGTTGCTGGACAGCAACATCGACCTAGTTAAGTCCTGGATCACCAGGGAATCTGGACTTGAGAGCGCCTTGGCTTGGGATGGGAAATGGCAGTATTTGGGACTTGGTGCTGAAAATGCAGGCCGTAGGATGGTTTGCCTGTGCCACCTGGAGGAACATATTGGATTTGCGCCTTCAGCGTGAACCAGCACTTGAGCATCTGCTCGCCAGCAGAGCCGCCCACAGACTCCATCACAGGCCCGCTTGAAAGCCACCACTTTGATGCTAGTTTGGTTCAGGCCAGGGTGGGCCTCTGACGGTTACACTTCGTGCTGAGGATTCACTTTCTAACCCAGCGAGTGACACAGCAGGTATGTGTGCACACGATTGAATGCCCCCTCTCAGGCACATGGGCTAGAGAATGTTGCAAATGTTTTCTTGGCTTCAGCTCTTCCCCTTGGACCGGAGGCCAGCTGATTCCAACCTGCGGGTGCTCCTGTCCGAAGTTTCTGAACACGGACGAACCGTGTCGAGCGGACGGTGCCAGCATTCATTGCGAGATGAATCTTTGTCCGCAACAACACTGCACGTACTGTCTGCACGTGTCAGACATGTGCATGGCATGGTTTGATGCAGTTGCCGCAAGGGCTAAGTTCCAGTCTGGCTAAGGAACAAGTTCGGGGACATGATGGCATGGCTTGCTGCCAAGGACAAAATACAGTAGGATTGCTGCAGGATTTTTTTCGCGCGCAAGGTTATCGGACATTATAAGGGAGACTGCAAGGCTCTAGCGCGGACGGTTCATTGTTGCACTGCCAATGGCATCCCCAGCAGGTAGCCTCTGCATTCAAGCAGGCAGTATGAGCGGATGGAGCTGTGCTTCAATTTCGCTGACTGTAAGATTTGCAATTAATCAACAGGATAAGCCTAGAGCTCTGCATATTGCATGTTCGTCATGGCTTGTACTTGGTCTCAAGCCCTCTGCTGTTGAGAAATATATCATAGCTTTTGCATGGATTCACGGATCTCGTGTATTACCTGGTTGGCTTCTCCAACTATATCCAGCCGCATAGCGGCTGGTCTCCTCGACAGGGCATCGCAATCTGCGCATGGGATCGCCAGAGCACATCCCAGCAACTGCGACGGAACCTCCACCAAGTCAGCCGGTACCTCTGCGGGCCTACGCTGCCCCCTCCACGGGAGAGTTGAGCAGGGGTGCCAGAGACGTTGGCTGGTGTAGGAGAGTACCCACAAGCCATCAATGCATCTCATGCTACCATGCGCCATGAGGGTCGGTTTCTTGAGATTCAACAGACACGCATCTTCAGATTAATGACGACGAAGGGGCGAAGCTCAGACCCGAACTGGGTGAGATGGAATAAGAGGCAGAAACAAGGCACCATCAAACTAAGGAAACCTAAGCACAAGCTGCACGTGCGAAATGGTAGCTGTGATAGAACAAGAATTCGCCACACGGCAGCTACGAGGGCCCTTGCTACTATGTCTCGATGGCCGCACAACAAGTTCGATGACCGCACAGCAAGTTCCGCAGCAAACCCCAGGTACAACCCCCGCAGCAGGACCGCAGCACTCAGACAGCGGCCTTCCCCAATGTGGCTTCCTGCATAGGAACTCCTGTGGCCTGTCCAGGTCTAGTAGCGAATGCAGGACCCGCAGCCGGGATGCTGAGTGAAGGGACTCGATGCTCGCGACACAGCAGTTTCGAGAAGCTTCGACCCCTTGAGAAGGGGAAGAGAACAGGCCAAAACCGTCAAACTCCCAAATTGCCCCAATCTCGAAACCTACTGTCCAAATGACGCCGTCGATTGGATTCTCAAGGTGTTCGATCAGGGCGCAAGTGACAGCAATCCCGGCAAGTTCGGCACATCGGATACGAAGTTGCCTGAGTAAGGTAGTGAAAGGGGAGTTGGGTAGGGAGAACCTGAACTTCAAGGAGACTGAAGCCTATCTCTCTGCACAACGCTTTACAACAAATGGCGACTTTCAAATGCGACGCGCAAAAGATTTCAAATGTGGCTCACGAGGCGATTGTGATTTTTAGCATGTCTGAGCATAGTTGTTTGGCGAGTTTTTTGCGAGGCAGCCATTCAGTTAATCCGCCACATCCTTAGCCAGTACTTCGCGAGGGAGGTGTACTTCAGCGCCGTATTATTCTGCATGTTTGTCCTTCCTGGTACTACCTCTCAAGCCCTTCTTGCAGTTGAGAAAACAGAGGGGTCGCTCCTGCATGGCCTAGCGGATCATTGTTTGTGTATAATGAACCCGGTTGGCTTATGTAACTATAGGGTTGCCCGCAAACTGAAGTCTGGCTGTGCTGTGCTGCAAGCAGGACAACTCCTTCACGCATGTCCTAGCTATGGATCGCGATTTGGACCTGTTGACGAGAGCATGGTGCGTGGCCGAGGCACGTATCGTTGCATGAGGAGCAGTCTAGGCAGCAGCAGGTCCAGTCACTCCAACGAATAGCACCACATTTCCCGCAAAGCGAAGCTGCTGTGGCAGCTACTGTTGCTACAGGCCGCAGAGTCGTACATCATGGGCATGTGCCAGTACATGAAGGTCAGCAGCAATTCAAGCATAAGAGCCTGGAACCGAAGCAAGCTTTTATTGGGATTAGAGGATTTGTGGGGGCCGTTTTTCGCGCTTGTTTGTCTACCGAAGATGAGCTTCTCAATCGCAGTATAATGAGATAGGAAATGCCCCCAGGTTATGGGCATGCCGTGTTTCCTCGTCTCCTCACCATGTGCTGACAGCATGTGTTCAAAGGAAAGAAGTGGGCCAAAGTAAAGAAGCTGCGCGTCGAGGGCATGGCAGCGACGAGGTGTGCCCCAGTGCCCTGTTGTTGTTGCTGCTTTGATGGTTGCACCGTCCTATTGACAGAGAGCCGATGATATTCACGCATGCTGTCTCACGCAAGCTGGTAAACCTTTTGCATTCACTCCGGGTTGCATAGGGCTTGGCCCGAGGCCGGAGGATGTCGATGAGATCTTGCACCTTCGGTTGCAGACGACCCAAGCTTTTTTTAATAGCACACCTCGAAGTTAAGGATAAACAATGTCGGATACAACAGCATGGTTCAGAACAGAGTGGCACGTTTCAAGTGCCTTACTACTAACTACTAGCAGCAGAAGTTCTCACAAAAGGTCTTCCTGGAGAAGCGCCCACTCGCATTGCTGCAAGCTGCCAGTTGAGGCTTAACTAGGTTGTTTAGGTGCCTGTTCGGTACGAATTTTATGGCCCACTGTGCGATATGGGAGTTGGGATGAGGCCTTATTAGGCCTGCCAGCTATACCGGATTTTGGAATCTGAGCGTCCTTGTGGAGAATCGCATCAGAAGAGGCGTCTATATCGGGATCATGCTTCAGTGCATGAGCTCGAGGCAGCGAATCCCCAACAAGACAGAGTTCAACACGCAGATCCAGAAGCTCTTCGAGCCCTGGCTGCAAGGTACCCAGATCTTCCAAAACCCCTTCATTAAGGGATATACCCTAACTTATAGAGCAACTTATACTCAGGATCATTATTAATTATGAGTTAGGGTACAGTCCTTAATGAATTAAGGGGTTTTGGAAGATCTGAGCACCGGTGCCATTTCTCGTGTTCTCTCCACAGGCCATCAGACATGCATGGCAGTTGTGCACCGCTTGCTGATGTTGAGCAGGCATGGTTTTGCAGGACTCGTTAGGGTTTTTAGGGTTTAGGGTTTAGGCCCCACAACTTCACCCCCTATGTGCTGAGATGCTTGAAGCTTTTTCACAAGTCGTTCTGATTGACATAGTTTCCCAAGAGCGTGCGTGTCATGCTGCGCGGGAAGTTCCCTAGCCACGAGTGCTGGGTTTGTGCTTCGCGCCTGTGTGTCAGCATACTTACCCGGCAGACTTCAGAGGCCTGGATGTAAAAGGGTTTGGGGTTTAGGGTTTCGGGTTCACGTGAAGTTCATGGACACCTGAGGGTCGACTCTTCGGACAATTCTGGCATGTGCCGCCGTCCGAGAGAGTTCTACTGGTCTGCCGAGAGTTGCGATGGAGGACTTCTTCACGCCCCGGATTGCTAGGATTCTTTAGGAGGAAAGCAGACTCTGAGCTGAGAATGAACCTCCTCCTTCCCAATGGCCTCACTTGCGACCACATCTCCCCATCTAGGGCCTAGGCAAGAGGCAAGCAAGCCCCTCAATTCAGCAGATGGCCAAGACAGAGGATGATTTGGGAGAGTGCATGCCCGCGAGGATGAACATGATCAAGGCACTTTCAGACGAAGCCCCTGGTCGGCTGATCGAAAGTCAGCTGAAAGAGTCCGCTGAGGAGACTGTCCGCCAGGAGTTGGTTTGACCTCGGCCTAGCTCGACCAGCTTAATGCCCTGTAGGTTTCCAGGGCGCGAGACAGTACCCTAAACCCCATAAGCCCTAAACCGGCCCTAACCCGCCGAACGTAAGCTTCGGCTTGCTTGCACATCGGTGTCCCTGACGTATTATTTGTTGCTCTGGGATGGTGACCAAAACGATCCGGATGGGCTCTGTGAGGCTTGGCATTCGCATGCGGTGAGTTTGGTGTTGGTATGTGTTGGTGGGCCAGACAACGAAGTTTTGTCATGCCTGGAGAAGGAAGTCAAGCACACCGGTCACCTATTCCTGATTTTGCAGTAGGAGGCAAGAGGCTCGTCCTGCGCAGGGCCTGGTGCATGTAGGTAGGTACCATGATACCAATATTATTACCATATTATTCCATATTATACCATATTATACCATATTATACCATGGTATCCCATACTATACCATAAGGTGAATTGTACATGTACTAAAGCCCTCAAGAATCTGAAGACAAAGGGCCTGTGCATTGGGGCTTCAAACACCGTGGCAGCTTCGGCTGCAGAAGCCCGCGGCTTTTTTCCACATTTTTCAACTTGCACCCCAAGGGTCTTTTTCTGTGAGCCAGGAGGGGCTATGATGCCCTATACAACTCCTGACAGAGGGCCTTTAGAGGGTTGATTCTAGGGGTCCCTACACCTCCTTAAAGAGGCCCTTTATAGGGTTGATGATTATTAAAAAGGGCCCAAGAGCTCATCCTGGAGACCGGCGGAGGTCGGGTTCGAGGAAACAAGTTCCTCCAAGCCACCTCCGAGTGGGCACTTGGAGGTTCAGGGTACTTAGTAACCAGTTAGAAGTGTGGTTATAACCCACTTATAAGCCCCTTAAGTACCCTTGTAGGGGGAAAGAAAAAAATGGTTGCTAAGTACCCTGAACCTCCAAGCACTGGCTTGGAGCGCCAGAGTTTTTAGTAGACCTTCAGGTTCTTCTACTTCGACACGGAAGCTGTGTTCTGCAAAACAGAAAGGCTCTGGATGTTGTCTGCTGATCCCAGTGGTGAAGAAGTAAAAGAAGAACAAGTGTACATGCGGAGACGGTTCGTCTCCGGTTCTGATGGGCAGCACAGTTAGGGGCTGTCTGTTGTTAAACGTTCAAGGTTCATGGGTAGTTATACGTTGGGTTATAAGTACCCTAAATAGGGTGACAAGTATATTCGCTATACTTATATCCCTGCTTATGACTACCCATGAACCTTCAAGTGTTTGTCAAGGTGACATGGCCAACTCATACCACAGCCATGAGTTGCGAGGATGCCGTGCGAATGTGCGATGATTGGACTCGCACAGTCCCGCGGCACAAAATACACGGCTACGGGGAGCTGTCAGCATTCCGTTTTTTACGGCAGCTCTCGTTTGAATCCTATAGCTTTCCGATAGTTATAGGGTCTGAAAACCGAAGGTTCCCTAATACACTCCCTAAGGCCCCCCAAGCTTCCCGAAGCTTCCTGGGTACCTACCCCCATGAAAACCCCCTTCCGAACCCTATAAGATAGCTTACGTACGCCAAACTCTCCAGCACAAAGTTGATGGTGTCGGCTTGTTGCGGCTCAGGGTGCAGGAAAACCTATGCACCTCAGGACGTGCAGGTCCATACATGTCACTGCAGCGAAGAGCAACTGCGCGCATCTCCACCGAGAAGGGCACACCGGCCCACAAGACTCTGCGACTGTGTTAGGCTGCAAGGCCATACGAGCAGGTTCCCTCTTTGAGGCCCTTTTCCATCATGGTCATCATGGTCCGCCCTCGCGTGTTGGCATGCGCCCTCCTTTCGCAGCTGCTCGCCCAGGTCTCGGCGGACTGTCTCTTGGCAAAAAAGATAACAGCAAAGCCTCGACGCCACGTGAAGACCTTTGAAAGCATTGCTTACAAAGAAGCAGATTCGAGGCATAAAGGGCGAGTGGGATGCTGTGCGCGGCGGCCCCTGCGACGCCGAGCCATGCCTAAACGGAGGGTTGGGCATTTGCAAGGGTTTAGGGTTTAGGGTTTGGGGTTTAGGGTTTCGGGTTTAGGGTGGGCATGGGAGCTGCTAGGAGAACATCCCGAGATCAATGTGCATTTTGTTGGAAACTTGCATCGTGCAAGTCTTGGCCCGCCTGTATTGTGCTCTACACACGTGCATGTCTTCCTAAACCTTCAAACTGAAACTGTCCTGTTTCAGGTTTCAGGAGCTGACGGCGGTCAGGATATTGTCTCTTTTCTGCTGCAACGCAAGTCGAGCCGGACCTCTGAGCACCTTGCCATTTTGTTTAAGACGTCAGCGTCCCTCCGCAAACGCGAGGGTCGAGATCCTTCATACGAGTCGCACAGCAGCATGCTGCTTGTCACTCCTTACGACAAAACCCTTAGCCCTCCAACAGTCGCAGCATCAGAGCCTCAACGACTCGCCCTGCTCAGGAGCGCTGTGTCCCAGTTGGAGCGAGCCTCCGCCCGTGACGAGTTGGTGGGAGTCCACCCGAGTTCTTGTTCAGGGGTTTAGGGTTGCCGCCAACAAACTGCTCAAACAAGTCACAAAAATCTGCCGCAGATTCTGATTGGTTGAACTTCTGCACTCGCCTTGTGGGAAGTCGGTATGGCTGGATCTGAAAGGCCTTGCAAGCATACACGCCATCTTACCCAAAAGCAAGCACCTTGCACCCAATCGGCCCGGCCCCTAAACCCTGGACATGTGTTGCCTGTGCCACTTGGACATGCCGATGGGTGGGTGTTGTGTGTGTTGGGGGTATGACTCCATTGCTACCAATTGCTTAAGAGCACCCCCAAAAATCAAAATATTCTTCCTTATAAGGGTAATATAGGGGCTGTTATTTCTTGATTTTTTGAGGGTTCTTAAACAAATAGTAGATTACGGGTAGACCTGTTTCAACTTCTTTGAAGGGCAACAGCTCGGCTGTTACAAAGTTCCGCCGTGTCGACAATCGGTTCTTTTTTGCTCCATATGGGTACTTCCCAATCCAAATAGGGGACCCTCCCTATATATTCAAGAATGCTATCATCCTGGTACAACATTGGGTTTGTAACCCTAAACCCCAAAACCCCAAACCCCGTTTGCAGGTGCAGGGAGGCAGTCGGAAGTCCATGAGATGCAGCGCCTTTGGTCCAACAGTTCTCACACGGATGCACTTTGGGTCTTATAAGGGCAGCTTAGTGTGGGCTTGACGAGTGGTTTTGGGCGGGGAAGGAATTTAGGGTTTAGGGTCAAAAGGGTGGAGGCCCTCAGAAGAGACTTTCAGGGCGGTTTAGGGTTCAGGGTTTAGGGTTTAGGGTTTTGGGGGTGTTTCAAATTCTGGTTCGTTTTCGGCTGGCAGTCATCAAGCCTGGTGTGGAAAGGGTTAGTTTGGGGTTTGGGGGCTCAGCGCAGCAGATCCCTGTAGCACATGGTTTTCGACTGCAGCATATTGCAGCCCCGTACTCTGCACAATGCCAGTTTTCATCAACAGGCCTGAAAAATTAGGCCAGCGTCTAGAGCCCAAACCTCTGAGGGCGACCCTCGGCTGCAGTTCCCTGCAACGTTTACAGGCAATGAGATTCGGCTGCCGCAGTCCAAGGATGAGAAGCAACTTCGTGCCTCAGCTTTGTTTGGCGTCGCGCGTTCTGGGCTGGTTGGCTGCCGTGCAGTTGGGGATTTCCGTGGTCTTATGTCTTATGATCCGCGTGGGGTGTTGGCGTCGCTGGCATGGGACACGGCTGTTGTCGGATTTGAAACTGGGGGCCGGGTTTCTCTTTTTGATTCTTTTTGCAGATTTCCGGTTTTCGGGAACGGGTTCATTATGCCACCACTGACGTGCACAAGCCGGTGTGGGTGCTTCTTTAGGGGACTCTATGATGCATTGAAACAACACTAAAGGCAAGATTACAGTCATCACTCCTTCGCTGCACCCCAACACATCTGCAGACCCTCATCCCGCAGTGAGAAGATGTCGCACAACAGCGTTGCCGTTAAGTTGGACCATGCCAGCGTCACGGCCGTGTTGCAATTCCTAGCATCGCCTAGCTGCCAGGCTGTTGCTTGGGGATGTTCAGGTCTTTCAAGCTGTTTTCTGTGCAAGGCAGTACCACGGCACACCCGACGCCTCAGGAAACATTCGCTGGCTTCACTTCCCTAAAGCGGGCACAAGCTTTGCAGCAACGCTGTGGAACTATGCGACCTGACCAGAAACAGTCGGGTTTGCAAGAAGCAGAAGCGGCGTTGGTGATAATAAATGCTAGCAGGTAATGGTAGTCGCAACAGAACTAGCAATAGGAATGGGAAGCGTTTGACAGTAGATAATCAGCAGTCGTATGTCGCCCTCCCTTGATCTGCCTCCTTCCTTGTGATTGCACAACCACACTTACCTACACCTTTAGGGTTTAGGGTTTAGGGTTTTTGCTTAATGCCTAGAAAGCACCGGTATGCTCTGCCCCGTCTACAGTCTCAACTTAAAAGCTGTCGCATGTCCTGATTCAGGAGCGGCTCGCAGTCCATCGGCTTCTCTACAAGTCAATTGCTAAATATATTGAAGAATAGAACTGTTTTTCCATAGGTGAAATGAGCAAGATGGTCCGTTTCACGAATATGAACATTCAACTAATGAGATTTACCTCAACTAGTTGAACTGGTCAATTCAACTAGTCAAATTACGGCTTCTTCGTAGACTAGAGTAAGTTGGTTAAAGCTACGAGTCACAACTCATGGAGGGGGAGGGGGGGAGGGGCGAACAGCATCTTAACGAATGATGTTGTCAGAAGCGTCCTGTAGTGAAATCAGTGTCGCTACCCGATCCGCCCTGGAAATTGAACTGTTTAAGCCCAGAAATCAAGGCGATATTGTTATTGTTAGACACAAAGCACGTTTGCCATTCCTAAGCGCGTCCTTCGTTCCTAGACATCATATTCGGCCACACCCACCGATTTGCAATCATGAAATACATTTCTTTCGTTTTCATTCTTGAACTGAGTAAGCATATTGTAAATTCAGAAGCAGGTTAC